ATACAGTATTAGCAGCATACTGGCTAGTCTTTACTCCTTTTGTGGTTAGAAGTACTGGTATAAAGAAAATAAAAATACTAAAATGGCTGCAACAGCATTTCTTTGACCTAGTTTATGACCTTCCAGTGTCTTTTGAGAGCAGTGATTTTACATGTTAATTTGTGTATAATTCAGGACATTGCAATCTGTCACTGAGTTGTTGCTGCTCCAGTCTGAAATCTTGCAATGCTAATTCATATATATATATTTTTAAATAAATGAAATCTCGTATGTTTGTCATACCAATTTATTCAGGATAATTTGAAAGACTCTTGTACAATGTTCTATACATATCTAAGCAATGTTTAATTGTGACATTTCTCTTGCAGCTCATTTTGCTACACCAGAGAAGCAAATCTTCATTTCTGGTAAATTTTAAATTCATTCTACTTTTATTAAGAATATGAGCTTCTGATGTTGAACAGTACCTTTGACAAAAACATCTCAGAGCACAAAACTTGAGAAAGAGGTACAGATTGAAGCAACTTCCTGAGTATTTCAGTGAGAAAGTGACATTTTCAGCTGTTATTCATATCACCTGGCATATGTGACAACTCTACTGATCAGAACATCAGAGCATAACTGGACTTCAGTATTTCACTTTGGCCTATTGCTAGATACAGCAACAGGAGAAACTTAACATCCACCAGATTGTTAACACAGCACTGTCAAACAGATGGCCCCTGATACTACTTTTCTGCAAAGAAAACTTGACAAGACAGCTATTTCCCATGGACCAAGTAAATCTAACTTTGCTTACTTGCCCAAGGAGACTGGGGCATGGTTTATGTTCATGCTAGACAAGATAGATGTGCCTAGGGTTTAGAAGTGAGCTAGCTGGTATGCCAGGAGCCAGCTTGTCATGCAAATAAGAGGGTGCCCTTATAAGAGGATGCAGACATACGCATTGATCTACTTTCATCAGTCAATTCACCAGTCAGATGCAGAGTTTTGCTGCTTCTGGGTTTTATTCCTTCTTTCTGATTTACCCCATTAAAAAGGATTTATTTCTACTATTCAAGCCATGCTGTTTGCAGCATTAATCAACCTTAACATGAAAAATAACCTGAAATGTGAAAAATTTTCATTTTCTTCCATGAGCTATGTAGTTTAGGGAGACTTAAAAAGTATCTTAAAGCTAGGACTATTAGAGAGGCTTTCAGGTTAATACGTAGGCAGATAGCATGTCACTTTATTAACCAAAATATCTGCAACTACTCTCAATAAGTGGAGTTGGCTTTTCCAAGTGACAAGCAAAATTTACTCTGTCCCTTACTTTTAACTTATTGCTTGTGCACAGCTGAAGATAAAAATATTTCCTATGCAACTTGAAAATAAGAAGAGGGAGGAAGATGACCCAGAAAAATGGGAGAAGCCACTGATAATGACAGTAGAGGGTCAGGTACCAATTTGCAAGGGCAGGAGTGAAGAATGACTAAAGAATATGGAAGTGACAGTGGCATTCTGGGGCCATATCCTGTAGGAGCTTTTCCTTTTCATTTCTTTTACCTTGTGACTGCCTTGCATATATTCACTCCCTTTCTTCCACCAAGCGTTTAGTATTTTCAGCCTTACATTGTTTTCCCTCTAATTGTTTCATGTTGATCTAACAGAGGATAGAGTGACATATATATATGTATACACATATACACTCTCATGGGCCACACAGCAGTTGCAGTGGACATTGCAAGTAGGACAACACAGGGCAAGGGAGATAGTTACACTTTGGCACTTACTGCATGCCTCCTGAATTTCCAGCTACTTTTCAGTGAAGCACTTAAAGGCACTGCCATTAAACAGTTTGGATACAGAAATCAAATGTGACTTCAATCTATAAAACTGCTATTGAATTTTTATTTTGAGACAACTCCATTCAGTTTTAGATGCCTGCAATAGCAGCCATGGGAATTCAGGCACATGGCATACCATATGCCAAGGTTTCTTTATCTAATAATTTTTAGTCTTTTCATGCATCCACCTGTGGATAAGATCATAGAATCAGAGAATACTTAGGGTATTATACTTAGGGTATAATACTTAAGATCATCAAGTTCCAACTCTCATGCCATGAGCGTGGATGCCTCATCCTAGACAATGCTGCCCAAGAGCTCTGTCCAGCCTTGAACACTGCCAGGGATGGAGTATTTACCACATCTTTGGACAACCTGTTTCAGTGCCTCACCACCCTTACAGTAAAGAACTTCTTCTTTACATCTAACCTGAAATTCTCCTGTTCAAGTCTGAACCCCTTACTCCTTGCCCTATCACTGCAGTCCCTGATGAAGAGTCTCCAGAATCCTTGTAGGCCCCCTTCAGATACTGGAAGGCTGCTCTGAGGTCTCCACTCAGCCTTCTCTTCTTCAGGCTGAACAGCCCCAACTTTTCTACCCTGTCTTCATAGAGAAGGTGCTCAAGCCCCCTTATCATCCTCATGGCACTCCTCTGGACTTGCTCCAACAGCTCCATGTCCTTCTTTGGTATAATACGTATTTCATTCCTTGATTCATTCACACAAAATTCACTTCAAGTGAAATTTCAAGATACTGCTACAACCTCTGCCAGCTCTCTGCTCATTCTATTTCGGTGTCAGAGGCTTGTTAAACTTGCATAATTCACTTTTCCTCTCATGCTGAAGTTAACCCATAGTGGATTCCCAGGAGAAATTCCAAACCATTACATGCTATTTCACAGTCCTAATCTAGTCTAATTCAAAGTAGAAAGTAGTGCTGTCCTATCATATGGGGAACTGGGGCAGATACCTGTTACCTTCAGCTCAATTACTAACAGTATATTTAGAACACAAAGACGTGTTAGCATATGCACAATAATCTGGACAACATGTAGCCTGTCTGGTAAAATTGAAAGGCTTGATATTCCATGCAGAAAACAGATTATGTATATTTTTATAGGTTCTGGGAAAGAGGAAAATATTCTGATTCCTGCTAAGCTAGTTTTAAATACCAGTATTTAATTGGGTCTACATATATAGGAAGGAATCCATTTGATAAAGGAATGCATGAAAGAGGAAAGTTCCAGATGTGCAAACATGCCAAGAGGCAGGCTTTTCAATGGAACAAACCAGCTCAGTAAGCTTTCAATGGAACAAACCGGCTCAGTAAGGACATCAGAGAAAATGCGTGTATGCAGGCATGTATGCACATGCAGCAATGATTTATATATCCAGCTTAAGTATTATTTGTGGAACTGCTGAAGACTTCAGTAGCTACCCATTTCTATTACTTGGCTGACATGCAGTGTCCCTTTGCAGCGATGAGCTGCCAATTGCCATGGCAATTTGATCTCTTGATTAATAGTCTTATCCAGAAATAAAAGACCTTTTCCTTCTTGTTATTTCCACGCTCTCCCTTCTTGAGCACACAAAATTAATCCATCTACCATAGAATGGATTTGACCTTTCAGGTGTTAGAGAATAATTCTCCACCCCATCCCCCATAAAATCGCTACATTGAATGTTGGTTAAGATCTAAAGGTAAACCAGTTGCTTTAGAAAGAGATCAGTAATCAGTCCATTCATTTTGATCTTCAGTACTGTAAAAACTAAAACCAAATAAGTACAGAAATATCCATAGGTTTCCTTAATCTGTTTACAAAGGATCTTCAGACACATTAGGAGCTCATAGTAGCAATTCAAAAGCTAAATATAAAAGCAGCTTTATGAAGTACTTATGAAGTCAGTAAGAGGTTTTCTGGGAAACCAGAAAGATAATCCTTATTTTTAGCATATTTTCCTTTGAGATAAAGATAGTGAATGTAGAAAGTATCCAAACCCAAAGTGAGATACGCAAAAGAAATCCCACGATATGCACCAGGAGTGTTCCAGAATCAGCATTTTGAGAGCAATGTTCTGACAACACCATCTGCTCATTTGTGCTGTATCTTCCTATTACAGGCTCTCTTAATGTCTCATGCATGATTTTCTGTGGAAGTCAGTAGGAGTGTATGATTTATTTTGACATTAATATTTACCAGGCTGATGTATGCTTAAAGTATCCAAGATGCTGAGAATTTTTTACTAGTTTAAAAAGCCATTGAGTTGGCTTTTTTCTGTGGAGACATTAACTTAGTCACTTCACCACTGTTACATTCAAGTCAGATACCATTTGCGCTGCATTAAGTAAACACCACTTGTGTTGCTCTTACTAGAACTATAGACCGAAATAAAAATTACTTTGGGGTAAAAAAAGTTCACTAGAATTTTGCATTGGAAATGAAAGGATGGTGAAACAAAGCTTCAAGTTGTGAAGCTTCAAATTCTTTACTGCTTATAATTTATTGTGAAACTGAAGTGCAAGAGACTCCTGCAAAATATGTTTTGGACACCAAAAATAGTATTGTTTGATTGTCCCTTTCTAAAACCTACAACAGATATTCCGTTTGCATATATTAACGTTTAACAGTTGTTTTGCAGATTCTGGGTAATGTTCCTGTCATGTAGGGTTTTTTATTTTTTTTTTTCATTTTGAAGCGAGTCTTAAAATAACATTTATGTGCCGTGATGAAGTATAGCAAAAGTATGCTTAGCCCATGAATTTCAGATCTGTTGCACAAATGCATTAAAATATAGACTGATACTCTTTTCATCCAGAAACGGATTACAGTGCTGACAGATTACTTAAAATAACCATTATGGATGTGAATCATACTGACAAAGGCAAAGAAATCTCATTCAGAAGAAAACATCTTGCCTCAGCCAAGCATTTTGATGGATGTGGATGCTTATATATGATTATTTATATACAGTCAAAGGACCTTTTATTAATAGCTAGAGGCAGAAACATATCATTTTGATTTAATTCATTAACCAAAAGCTTGCCAAAGATAAGCATCACAGGTATTGTTGCTACCCCCACGCCAAAGATGCTGCTCTTGAACAGCTGTGTTATAAGATGGAGTTACATATTTTCCATTCAGAGTGCACTGATGTACCAGAGACACTCATTTACAAGCATGAATAGCAGACACAAAACTGTTTATGACTCTTCTGCATGAATGCATGATTTTTCAAAACAATTACTTTTCCTAATATTTAAAGGACAGATGCAAAAATGAAAGAGCTGTAGTACACCGGAATGCAGCTTCATTTGGTAAGTTAAATTATTGCTGATGTCTTTTTATGTTTTGAGGGTTTTTGTTGTTATCAATATTTACTAATAGATTTATAACAGCAGCTATTCAAGATACAGTAGGGTTGAAAACCTTGTGAAATTTGTGTATTTGAAATGCAAATGTACTGTAAAACATTGCCTCTGCACTTTTTTTTTTTTAGGGGCTACAAGAGCTTCTGAAACCACACCTGATAATGTGCAGTCTTAAATGCTGGAGTCTCAGAGCCCTTTTTCTGTTGATGATGTGTAGGTAAGAAATATTTGCTAAAGTATTATCTCTTAAACATACAGTAGTATCAGTTGGTTTATAATCAGTTTGCTTTTAATTAGAAATATATCTGACCAGGTAACAGAGCCAAATCTCGACAGTTGAATCTTGTCTCTTAAAAAGATAAAAACACCTGAATATTAACAGAAATACAGGACTGAACTCCATGAATCATCTTGGTTACCTTAACTGAGTTACAGTTGTTTTTCATTGAGAAGACTGATGGGAAAGGGAAAAAAAATAACCTCAAAAAACTTAATTTAAGCAAATGATCCTTCAAATAAAGGATTACTGTGTAAGGAGTGTGAATATCATCAGACACTTAGCAGATTTAGAAGGACACAAATTTAGATGGGTCCTTGCCTGGAGCACAGTACCTTGCCCAAGGACAGAAGCACACAGTCCACCTAAATGTTCTGTAAGCTTGAGGTAGTAGAGTCATCACTGTGCATTCATTACTAAAGGAGAGTGTCTTAAAAAGATTTACCTGATTAAAATGTTGTCTTCTTATTCTCTGTGATGATATCATGAAGTCTTTAGGAAAGCTTAGTTGTGTTAAGCTGGAAGGTGAAACCGATTCCTTCTGTGTACCAGTAACCCTGCTAACAGTGCAGTTGCCATGACAAAAAAAAAAAATCACCACCCCTTAAGATAGGAACAGAGCACTGAAAATATATTCCTTATATAAAAACGGGGAAAACCTATTCTTTGTAAGTAATTCAAATAAGAAAAGAAGCATGGACATAGTCACGACCACCTTTAACTGAAGTATTTAAAGTCTATTAGCCAATTCTGTGTAGAATTACCTAACCTATTTGGTTTCCCAGTAAAATCCTTAAGGTAAGATCCTGCCTGAGTTTTGGTTCAAGTGGGTGTGAAAATGTATGTTTAGATAAAGCCTCCACTTGTGAGGGCAGGTGAAAGAGTCCCCTGAAAGGGAGCTTAAGGCATTCTTCTCCCACACCTTCTCCAGTGCTATAAAGAGATCTTTGTTCAGAGCACACACTTGCTCTAATTCCACCTTCCTTCCTCGTCAGCTGCGATTTGTCACACTCTATAATCACTGCATGATTCATGGCTTTGCAGTAATAAAACACTGCTAAGAGACCAACAAAATTTCAGAAGCATCTAAGTAACAAGGAGGCAAATTTCCTTGAGAAGTTCAGCCTGCAGTGTATAATTGCCTTCATTATTATCAGGCAGACTTCTCAGATCTTCTTACAGCTTCACATAGCTAAGAGTATCCAGAATCACAGACAGTTAACTCCTGTACAGCATCCATGGGAATCATGTGCATGCATAGCACCTGTTTAGCTTGGACAGAAGTACACAGTATTGAGCTGATGTAGTATCCAAATCCAAACGTAGGCTAAGATGCAGCTCTGCCCCTTGCCTGTTTCAAAGCCAAGGTGATGCTTAGGCAAGCAAATGCTTTTTTTTGCAGCACACACATCAGGAAGGTATAGTGAAAGTGGTGTTTAAAATAAAAAAATAGCTGTTTGGTGCTGAAACAGAGAAACAATTCTAAGCAGTATCCAAGGACTGAGGTATACTGAAGCAAGGGCAAGGATTGCTCTGTAGCTGACCCCTTAGGCAACCCACATGTACAAACTCTGACTAATGAGTGAAGAGGCTTTCCTCTACAGAGTATTTTATAGCCAATAATGTTGTTTGGTGATGGTTTTTTATTTTAAGTTTAGAGACTCATCTTCCTTTCATATTCATAGAGAGGACATGATCTGTCACAACACACATGCTATGTCACACAAGACTACTAGTTTCACCTTGCTTTCTAGCTCTCCCTTCCTGAATGACATTTCTTAATTTCAGTTGAATTAAATTACATCATGATTACATTATAGGCACACATACTAAAGTCTATATCCAGGGCACTGCCTGGATCAGTTTCCCCGAAATATTTTTATTAAAAAAGTAGAAATGAAAAAAATTGAGGCAAATTTATCAAAGTAATGAATAGATGCATTATCAGGGATTAGCTTAAGTATCTGCTGCTTGATCCGAAGAAGGGCTCCCATTTATTTTGTGGGATTTTTAGTCTTTTGTTTTCTGGCTGAGTTTCGGGGCACTTACATTATTTAAGTATTTGTTCCTGTATCTGGTAAATGGTAATATAATGCTAGTGTTTCAGCCTCAGCAATTAACCAAAAAAATCAGTAGGGGTATCGGAGGTTTTGAAGCAGAGAATTAGTCAGTGATGTAGGTGATTCTTCTGCAGTTTATCTACAGAGACTATACAAAACCCTGTACCCTTGAGCAACCTGGGCATGGAACAAGAAGTAACCTCTTTGTTTACATCAGTAAACCCTTCGCCTGTCAGTGGTTTGCCTGAAAACAGCTATTTTCCCCTAGATTTTCCTGAGGGGGGTGTTGCTTAGAGACTGTATTTGGCATTTTCTTTCTCCCTTCTTTTGGTTCTAAAGTGTTTATGCCTCTTTCGTGATACATAACTTGTGACAAAAAATACCCAGGAAAAATATTCCTGTACATGTGTCTTGACTGTACTTACATTTTAAGTGGTGATGTATACTATTGTTCAGGGCAGACATGCCCTCTTCCTCCTCCAGTTACTCAATTCTGTTAAGACACTGACTTAAGAGTATCTTCAATAACAAGCAGTTGTTGTACCTATCACGTTCAGCCTAGCCTGTAAAAATATTACATTTTTAAGCCATAATACAACTAAGGAAATTAAATAATTATAATTCACCTTTTAGAAAAGCAAGAATGCATCACTTAACCTGAAGAGATTAAACATGTATTATACATTGACAGCCCAGAACACATAGATACTCCCAGCTGTCAAATACATACTCAGTTTTCTTCTATAAAAGCCTATTCTCTTCTCAGTGGTTGGAACAGCTGTTTCAAGGCAATTCCATACTTACACGCATGCCTTTGTATTTCAAATATATTAAGAAAATGGGGGAACTAAAACATATGCAGTTAGTTAAACATAACAAGAAGAATACAGAGTAAAAGAGAAGCTTAGATGCATCGATGAGAAGATGTACATGCATATGAGGATTGAGACTCAGCTTTTACTTTAATCCTTTGTGATTCCTTTGTGAGGCTATATGACAGAGTATAGGAATGTGTTCAGCTGTTTAGTGATGAATGGGGCACATGAATTGAAGAGCACTTTAAATGAAACAGGGCATCCTCACTTGAAATGCTGATAAGCAAATCCATGTAAGGTACATAACATTTATAGATTCCTTACCTTTCAACACTGACAAGCTGCTTCTAAGTATCCCCAAAGTTACCAAGATGGTACCACCACACACTCACATATGAGGCATCAGATTCCTCTCATATATTGGCTTAATGTGATAACACTTCTAAAGATTGCTGGGCAAAATAGCATACAAGGGACAGTACCCCATTAATTCACTGCCTCAGGTACTGCACAACTGCTTTTCCATGCCAGCAGGTTCTTACCCATAAAAGTCAAAGACCAAAGACTACACATTGCATATTACTGAAGGAAATAAAGAACTATTTCCACACGTGATTTAAGGAAAGAACTTCCACACAGCAATGGCAAAAATTTAAGATATCTTTTAGAAAATAACGGTCAATGATAATGCAGCAGACCACTTGGTAGATGCATATTGGTCAGCACAACAGTATTATGTCCTTGTAGTGGAAAAGGGACAAGTTTTATTTTATTGTTTCACAGGTTGTGAAAACTGTTCAGGAAGAATCCAATAAAACTATGAAATTAAACTCACGCAGCTCATCGAACACTTAGCTAAAGTTGCATGCAAATTTCAAAAGCAGAAATATCCACTGCAAGTACAGTATTTAAAAGTTAAATTCAAGTACATTTTGAATTCCAAGACTTTTGTACAACATAAAACCGACCCTTTTATTTATATTCACATTTTAACGTAATGTGACCATGCTTGCTTCTTTAGTACACAATTTAGAGAAGAAATATTTGTTATTTCAATGATGGCATTACTCAAGACCACACCTACATTAAGTAATAACATAACTCTCTAGCAACAATAAAAAAACAGGAACAAAATAAGAAAAGTAAATAGGACCGTTCAAAAACCCAAGCTACACGAGTTGCAAGACTACTAATGAAAAACACCTACTTATATGGGAATATGGCTTGTTGAACAGAAAAATCACACAGCAGTATTTCAGGACAGCAGACACCACATCACAAATCACAGTGTGATTTGGCCACATGTACTTGGTGAGATCATCTCAGCATTTAAATTTTGCTAATCTGAGATACTGGATTGTTCCTAGTGGATGAAAGCCACAGATTCCTGACAGAACAGCTCAAGCTCCCTCAGAAATATGGTAAAATTAAAATCAAAGGCACAAGCTTTAGAAAGCTACAGGAGACCTTGAAACATCATTAGGAAGAGCAAACAGAGTTCTCAGGAGCAGCACAAGTAGAACTGGAAAGAAGAAATTCAGTGAGGATTGGGCATGACTAGGAAAGAACACAAAAAGGGAAAGACCCTTTGACCATCAATTTGTACTTACACCCTTCTCCCCAGCACTGAGCCACCACATCTACAGTTCATACCTTCTGTATAGGAGCTAAGGAGTAAAACTGGTTGCTTCTAGTAACCAGCCACTTCTGATGTGTGTAGTAAGAAGCAGAGAGACCCTCTCCTGGTGAATATGTAGTGGCTGTTCTCCATCAGCACACAATGCCTCTGCCTGCAGCCAGCTGGGCTTCCTTGAGTCAATTAATTACTTACTTCTCACCTTCATAGTTAAAGTCACATCCCCACTTTCCTGAAATCACTGGCAATGAGCAGTCAGTAACACTTGTGTTTTAATTTACGAAGAGCACAGCCTGAATCTGTGATGGGTGAGCACACCTTGCTTGCACTTAAGTGCTCACCTTAGGGGTTAGGCAGAAACTAAGATCAAAGCTATCCTTTGCTATGGAACAGTTACTGTCTGTGTAATTACCCCAGGTGCCTATCCACAGCTGCTAGCCATAAAGACCTATAAAAGACAAAGTGGGAACATATAAAAATTAATCTGGATGTAGTCTAACCAAAACACTGCAATTATGGTGTGCATCTTCTCTAGTGCCTTCACTCACCCAGTGAGGCTGTTGCAGGGGCCCCAGGGTTTTAAAATTGCTTACTTATTTCCATTTAGCTTCTGTGTTTCATATTTGTAATTACTTTCAAACAAAGCAGTGGTTTGCATTCTCACTATGCTTCACCAGTTTTGCCCAACAGGGTTATTTCTGTAGCCTGTTTAAAAACTGTGTTATAAAAGCAGGATTTTAAAAGCGGTTTTATGCACTAATCTCTGAGGCTGGTTTCTGCCTCTCTCCAAGAGCTAAATTGAATGTATTTCATTATGTAAAAAGAAGCTTAATTTTAAATGCTAACATAAACAGCCAACACTTTTCCCACGTTCCTAGATTATAATAGTAATGTCCTATTTACAGAGAAGGTATTAAAGGAGACTGAACTGTTTTCTAAGGTGAGGTGCTAAGGAATTGTATGCTTTAAGGTAAAAAAGTGTTATTTTTCTTCCAGTAAGAGACTAATGCACATTATAAAATCTGTGCTGTGAAATGCATATGTACAAATGTTTCCGAATGTTATTTGATGGGCAGTAATCATCAGTAACCTTGAAACTAGTACAGTATTTTCCTGCAATGTCGTTATTTACTATAATTGATGATGTTCTTTTAAAACATTCTCACCATTTTAATTCCATTTAGGTCAATGCAAATTTCCAAAGCTGAAGGAAAAGGTGAAATTCTGCCTCCAACTATACAAAAAATAATAAAAGGATACAACAAGTATCTACGTCCATTTTTTGATAGTAAGTAGAAAAGCTGTTTCCATAAGATTGAGCCACAATGTAATGCAGTGTCTGAAACTTAGCAATGAGAGCAAGTGTGTTTTTTTCTGTACTTTTTCCTCCAGTGTTTGACAGTGGCTGATCTGATTGTACATGATGTACTATGATATAATAAGATGTAGCATAATAGCTTTTGTGGCCCAAGGTGAAATATATATATTCCAGGCATTCACAAACAAAACTTCCAGTCTCTCTTAGAGACTTGACTGTCGATGTTAATGTGTCCTCTGTGAAATAAGCTGTCGTGCCTTGACTATTTAAAAGCACAATTTCCTCTAATTTCCTAAATAATAAATATAGAAAGTTTTGATTAAGGATGGGAAAGTTTTATATATCAAAATGCTCATAAAAGCACAGGCAAATCTTGTTACTTTATCAAGTATTAAGTGCACCTACTGTAAGAATGCAAGAGAATTATTTCATAAATGCTTCTTGCCTTGGGTCATAAAGGTCACTGAACTGGTTCACTGCAGAACTGTGAGGAAAAATAAAACAAAAATGTGAGTTGCTTGCATTAGAAGTTCATGGTCACCAGATTGGAAGACCCCCATAGTCCACTGCACAAAGCCAGATTTTACTGCCCTGCAGTACAGTGAATGTTAGGCACCTTAAGTCTCAATGACAGACATCTTCATTGCTCGAATCAGACTATTCCATGTATCAGAAATACTGAGGAGTTATGAAGAAGGATAAAGATATCTGGCTGGAGTAACTGCAGAACCCTGAAAAAGAAAATACTCTGCATGCTGAAAAGATGCTCAGCACCACATCTGTCAAAAAATTAATTTGCACAGTGAATGCTAGACAATAGTTCTTAACTTAAATATTCAGAATCATTAAAGGTTTCAAATGACTTTGGTATGCCTTCATGTCCTTCTTAATGGTTGGCTAGAGTGTTTCTCAGACCATACTGTTACCTCTTGCCATCCAAATACCTGGTGAGAGTATCAGCCTGTTCAATAAGGGCGCTCCACATTGTGCAATTTCTGAATCCATTTCATAAAATTAATAAGATAAATCTGTATTTTAGGTTTAGGAGAAAGGGAAACCTATTTAGTCTGTTTGATATGATTATGTTTGTCTCAGCTGCTGATAAAAACCGCTATAAAGTATTTACATAGTCTTAAGATTTTTTACAAAATAGAAGTAATGCTAATAAACTAACACCTTTGCATTGGAGATGATGCATAATGGAAAATAATTATATGATCAGTGGCCATTAATGTATTTCATTCATTGCTTAAGGCTAGTACTAGCCTTTGGCACTGCCATGATGGATGTGCTTTGGTGGACACAAACAGAACTTAATTGCAAAATCCTATGATTGTATTCAAGACCAGCAGTAAAGCACTTTTGAGTTACAAATCTCCCTTTCCTAATGTGAGCTTATTTTTTTTTCTCGGCTGTAACAATGCAGCAGAGCTGTAGCTCATTTTCTGCCTGTGAATTTTGTTTCGAGGGATGCTAAGGACTTTCTGTGTTTGCTTACAAATCCCAGAGGAGCTCAAGTGCAGATATTCTGTCATATGCAGAGACAGTCTAGCATTTCCAGACAGTGCCACTGTTGCTGCATATGCTCGCTAGAGCTCAGGCGTACAAACACTGTGTGTCAGGATCTATATTAGACCTACTACTGAAGGAATGGGATAAGAATCTGAAAAATGCATTTTATTGGTGCTGTCAGGCGTGGTAATTCTGTGAGAAATTACTTTTTAAAGGAATAATTTAGGTTAGGATGATCTAGGAAGTGTTTATCCTAACTATTCTACAATTCTATGATTCTGTGATTTTTGGACCTGTAGCTTTTGGCAAGATCATTTGGGACCGTTTTCCACGTAAAAGAGACATGTATGCTTGGGTTGGGGAATGGTGTCTTTGCAGCCCTGACCCCTCTCTGTTGCTGATGAAGTGGGCTGCAGCTTGGATGAGATGTAGATCTGGGAGGAGCTATTCCTGTCCTCAGAAGCAGAGCTAGTAAACCACCTGAATCTTCACTTTAACAAATCAGTTTATGTGTGACCACAGCTATCCTAGCTTTGTTCTATTTAATAATTTCCTTATTCCTAGGGATATTATCTGCCTGCAGCTGGTGTACCTTGTATCTGTTCTTTGTGAGAAAGATTTCAGTATAACTGGCTTTACTCAGAATTACATCAATGGCTACAGTAATTTAGTAATTTATACCTCTTACGTGCCTTTTTATTTTTACCATCCTTTTTCCCTGAAAATCCTTACTTTCTTGAATATGATATAGCTCTGTGTCAACCCATCAGTGCTGATTTACTCTGAGAAGGAAACTTATAAACTTGTTTTTCTAGAAATGTGCACAGAAAAGGATGTATGTGCATATTAACCCTGTGTTTACTGTCTGAAGTGCATGAAACGATTTGCATAAAATGGGAACCTAGTATGTGTATGTCGATACATGGAACTATCTAAAAATAATATCCTAAAGTCAGCCACCCTTCTAAGTCATTTGGCTCCCCTTTTTTTTTGTGCCAAAATTCCTTTGCTTTTGAAAGCATGCATATTTGTTTATTTGTGTGGTCAGTTAGATATGCACTCATAAATATCTGTAAAGAAATTTGTCATAAAACTAGTTGGTATTATTTGTTGGCATCTAAAATGCTTTGAGCTTAATGTTAGCTAGTCATAATGGAACACTGAAATGTGATTTATATCAAGTGTGAGTGGGCCAGAGGTTAGCTTGAATGTAGAATAACATAATTCAAAGTCACCTCAAAGTTATTTGTCCTTGAAATTTTTCTTCAAGCGGGAAATATGGATTTTTGAAGGATGCTTGCTGCCAAGATACAATCATACTCTTAAAAAAACCAATGACACCGAACTCCTTAATATTTAGCAAAATGTTGGATTTTGTTAGTCCTGAAAAGAAAGCGTTAGGTATAAACAAATGATCATAAAATAGGGTTCCCTTTTTCCTAAAGCCAGGAGGAACACAAATATTTACCAGTCAAGGAAATCTTACGGCAGCTCATAACTTTAGTTTAATAAGCCTCCATTTGCTTATTTGTTCATGCTTGGTCCTTGTGCTGGGACTGGCAGGTGACTGGCAATTACCTAAGAGGATACAACTCAGCTAGTGTCATTAACAAGGACATTATATTTTTCCTTTGAATCCAGTAGCTGTATAACAACACAGAAATTGGCTTCTCCCCTTACGTTGATGGGAACTAATAGATTTCTAGATTTTAAGCCTGGATTAACCTTGCCTTAAATCATCTCCTCCCCTCAGACCACCCCTCCAGACCCTTGTTGCTTAAAGGCTGCCATTTATGCCCAATACAAAACGTCATTTCCATCTCTAGGCACATAAATTAGGTGCTTAAAATTAGATCAGTTGAAAACAGTCTTAGTATGTCAAAGGTTTGCAGACAATTTTTTGTTTGGTGGGTGACATTTACCAATTACCAAACCTTTGGTTACTTTTACACAATGTTTAGTACAGAGAAATCCCAGCTGAAATGGTTATTTGCCTCTGCCCTCATCCAAATATTAAGAATGTTCTTTTTCCTTAACTATAGCATTTTTATATTCCCCTTTTGCTTGATGAACCAGCTCAGTATTTATAAACTGAACAGCTAAAACCAGGCAGTTCCATTAATGAATTAAAAAAATTACCTATTCTAGAATGACTTTAACCGTTACTTGTACTGGAGTATGAAATACTTCTGTAGTAGTGTTAGTAGATAGTACCACTTATCGTAATAATAACCATCTTAGACTGTAAGTAGATGTGAAAGTCTTCTAACGAAGAGCTGAGATAAGGGATTTAAAAATGCATAGTTATTTCCCTTAAATGTGCTACATAACCCTGAAACTTTATCTCAGTAATACGAGCTGATTTCAACACCAGGTTTTCTGCTGAAACTGTGTAGGCCAATTTTGTAACGTTAGGTGCTGTGCCAAACCTCTCTGAATTAATGAGCAATTCCTGCTGACTTCAGTGAGCCTTGGATCAGGCACATGGAGGTGTTAAGGGATGCATTAAATCTTGTAAATAATTTTATACGAATAGATTTTGTTCTGTGATTGAATGTGATAATTTAAGTGTTCTCATTAAAAAGTGAGAGACGAGGAAAAGGTCACAGCTAAGTATATTTGAATATGGAAGCTGCTTTCAAGTGGTATAGGAAAGTGTCATGCTCAAATTAGTTATTCTAAACTATATTTAAAAGTTTATTTTCCTTAGCCTTGTAATGAGTAATACATTTCATGTTCTTAAGGTTTTAATTCAAGAAAGTAAATTAAATTTGAGCCCAACCTTCTATGCAAGACCAGTCATAGTTTTTTTTTTTTTTCCTCAAATGTTGTTTATATTGGGTTTTATGAGTTTAATTAGATGAAGGCATTTTAGCCCTCAGAATTTTACAGTATACACCCAAAAGAGACCAGGAGATGTCAGAATATTAGCTGTGTCTAAGACCCTTTGATTTAGTGAGACTACCTCACAGAGTACATGAAACACCAAATGATCATAATCTAAAGACTATTTTCTGTATCAATTCTCCTTCAGAGAAAGGCAAAAAGCCCAGAATGTGTCCAGCCAGTTGTATATTTGGGAAAAATATCTTTTGAATCCCTACTGAATCCTTGAAATTGTGACTTAATAAATCAGTGACTGCAAAGCTATAAACTTCAGCATACAGATGTTAATGTATATTTTCCTTCCTTTCCCATGGAAATAAGAGACACTACGAGACAATCATTGCCACCAAACCCAGCTTCCTGCATGTAGGTTTGTGTTTGTATGTTTATTTTTCTCCCCTGCCCCTAAATGCTGAGTTCTAGAGCCTCTAAACGATGGACAGTGATTAAGTTCAGTTAGACAAAGATCAATTTATTTGAAGTTTTATGTTGCCTATGGCTTCCATAAACTGGGATCTTGCTTTGCTTAGTCAAAGAATGTGTACAGCTTACCTACTGGATAGTGTTTCTGTGCACTTACTGACACTGGGCAAGTCACCTCTCTGTCTTCTTGAGGAGCTGAATAAATGCTGTTCCTTAATTTCCATGTTACAAGCTTTGATACTAAGCTTCCAGAGGTTTTTGTCTTCTCTCTCTGGAATATTTCTCTCTCTCTCAGTTGAACTCTGTCTGCTGTTTGCACAATTTTTTAAATTCAAATGTGGAAAACAAATCATGTCACAGTAATCTCGTAACAGTCTTGCCAGTACAGTCTAGATTGCAAGATAACTTTATTCTATGTATTACTCCCCATTGCAATAGTGCTTCTGCCAAAGCGTAATGCGGAAAGATCATGTTGAAATGATTATCTGTGACAACCTCTAAATCCTTCTCAATGGTGCTGTTTGCCAGGATAGGTTCCTATCCTGTACATATTGCCTGCATTATTTGTCACCACATTAATTGCTGGCATTTGGCTATATTAAAGTGGGGTTTTTTGACAAATGATTTAACAAGCTGTTATTACATTCCCTACCAATCTTTGTCTTATTCACTAACTGTACCAATGAAACTACATTACTGACTAAAGATCACTGATGTGGACAAATAAGATTGAAGCTTATTCCTGCTATAAATGGATCTATATTCTGATGTCTTTGCATCAAAAATTGCAGTTGAGGTCTGTCAGAAGGCCTGTCTTAATCTGTCCAGTCTCTTAATGTAACATGTGCTTGTTAAGAAAGACGTCTTGTGGTGGGACATTAAATGCACCAAAAAAATCCAAGCTTAATTTACTACTTCATCTAAAAGTCCCATAACACTCTAAACTAAAGCAAATCTGACAGTGAGGCAGAAAACCCTCAGTTTTTAGTGAACCTACAGTAAATTATTCTGGTCATACTTTTCCTTCTAAGTTAGAGTTGCACAGTATTTTGTCCAATATCGTGCAAGTGTAAGGTGTTCTTCCAAAAAGCTGTCCCTTTTGAGATATTTCCGAATATCAAAATCACCTTAAGTTTTCTTAAACTAAATGAAAGCGCTATTGTTAATAGCTCATCACTGGCAGGTCACAATAGTGCAGACTGATTTAAGTAGTTGGTCTTCAAAGTTACAAATACCTATGTGACACAGTGGTGGTTTACTTTTTTGGTGCAAAGATTAACAGACTGTGATCATTGCAGTGAACCAAACGTAATTTTTAGGTGTGCTGTCTGCCACTGTTCTGGCTAATTTCCCATATGGGGTTACTGTGAATATCTGCAAAGTGCATGAAGTAACAGGTTTTGTACATAAATTTCAGTAAAAGTTAAAATATATGTTAATTGAATTGTGCACCCCTTGCTGTAACAAGGCACACCCTTTGGTGGATATTTGCCATGTTTTGAAGATTCTCTTAACTAATGCAGGACAGACTAACTTTAGTTTTCTTCTGAAGATCAGCCAATTTCTTCTGAAGCTGCCATTATACATACAATTTCTGTCAAACATATGGAAATGTAGGAATTGACTGCCCCATCTGGTCTACTGCCCTGTTTCTGACATGACGTCGACCTTTCAGAGGAAGTTCAGGGAAAACCCTGGTGAATAATTGTGGGGAGACTCATTCTGTTATTAATAATCTGCTTATTTAGTAAGGAACCATAAACTGTGTTTAGCCTCACACACAAAAAAAACCCCAGCATTTAACTATTAATAGTTTTCTGATTTAATTAACTGTTAAAGCAAAGCTATTCTCAACAGCTTGTATTGTGTTATTAAAGAGCCCTTCCATGATTTCCGGCCCCCTGCGCAATTCCTCTTTGGCATGTTGCTGTATCTGAAAGGGATGTAATTTGCTGCTGAGTTTTCCTGAGCGCTTGGCTCGACAGGCTGGCTGCACAGCACAAGATATTGGGTTATGGAGACTGTCATGGTTAGCAGAGCTGCGTGGTTTTGTGCTGACTACAGTACCACTCTTTAGCACTTGAACTGCAAGGCAGGTCTGTGCTAGGACAACCAGTCTGAGCCTAAAGTACCTCTGAACCTAAGGTAGATGTTTTTTGGGAGTCACCTACACTACATTCCAGTGGTACTCAATAGTGTTTTGAAAAATACTGTAACAGGAAAGAAGGAAGAAAGCAATGCACAAAGTCCTGTGTCTGTGATTCCAGAAAAATGAAACCTAATTTAATTTCAGTAATCATTCTGGAAAGTCAGCTTTTCCTCTCAGATGTGTAACAATAGCACTGATGATATTAAATGTTGCTAATGAACATTTCCCCTAATCTGTATCACTTTGACTAGGCAAGGATTAATTGTTCCTATCAACAAAATATGATATAATAGGAAAGAGTCTGATTATTCCCAATCAGAATTCCCACATCACCAGCTGAACACTCCCAAGGATGGTCCGTTATTAAGTATATGCCTTGCATGATGAGGTTCCACCTGATTCTTTTGTGACTGTTGGTAATGAGATACATGGGAATCTGCAGGAAGGCTTGGAAAAAAACTCCAAACAACAAAATCCCCAGAAAATGGGCTATAAATCACACTTATTTTTAAATTCAAGAATTTTATGCATCTGATGTGTCTTTTGAGGCTGGCAGTATTTCACTTGTAATAATGATATAATACAATGGTAAGCACAAGTACCAATTAATTCTGCTGCTGTTGCATGCTAGAAAGTTGGGTGGAGTTTCCTAGAGGGTCAAGTTTATAATCTCTGAGGAACAAATATAAATGTATTCTTGGGATATCAAAACCTGAAAAGAATGGAAAGAACAGAACAATCTGTCAATGGTCTGAGAACTTTTAAGTTGTACAATCTTGTTCTTAACTTCCAAAGCCTTCTTCCAATAGATGAACAATTTTTTCCAGTTCCAACATACAGTTTATAGTATATAATAAACACATTGATTACTATCAGGGAGTGCTGCAAGCCCACAGTTCTGCTTTAAGCTGGAGTTTTATAGTTGAAGTTTCAACTGAGTCCAGAACAAAGCATTTATAGATTCTTTCATAAGTGCCAGATGTTTAACAGCGCTGACACATGCATTACACATGGAAACTATTTTGGAAAAAATAAACATACCAATACACTTACACCACTTAGAATGACACATTTTTTGTTAGTGCAAGTCAGTGGGGTAAAGCTGGACCCTGTCTTCCTCTAGATCCCATTTGGGGACATCTATACCTAATGTATTTGAAGGAGCCAAGACAGGGTTTCAGCAGCATGCCTGCGATATACTGGCACCATCACCTACCTAGATCTTATCTAAAATATCTGATTTCTCAGTACTGCATTCTCTGCTTCTCAATTACTTGGAAAGATGCACTTATTTAATATGAATTTCCTTGTACATGTACTTAGTTAATTATTCTGCACATATTTAACCAGGAATAATGTCATGTTCCCATGAAAGCTCTGCATAATTTATGCATTTTAAAATACACAGCTGATGATCTTCCTTCTGACACTGTAAAATGTATTCACAAGGAAGCAAGAATCTGAACGTACTAACATTACATGACAACTACTTAGGTAAGGTATTTAATCACAGTGAATAAACCTTCAGCTGATCTTAAAAGGAGAATAAAAATACTAAGGTATTTAATCACAGTGAATAAACCTTCAGCTGATCTTAAAAGGAGAATAAAATTACAAATTTCCCTTTATAAATGCAAGTGCTTAAATCACAAGTTAATTGCTAGTGGTCAAAAGCAGTAAGTTAAAATGCAGTGACACAATATAAACAATATATTCTTAAACATCCAGTAAATAAAGTCACTCAGCTATCCCATCTGGATGTTAACCATGTGACATTGCCAGGTGCAACCCCTTAGTTCACTAACATCTGATGCACCAGATGTTGCAGCTGGAAGGATTCTTTCCACTGCTCTGCATCTCGGAGCAGAAGGGTGTGATGTTCCTTGGGGATTGTACCTTCCACACCTTGTTGTGCAGTGTTTCCTCCAGCATCTTGTTTCTGGAAAAAAAGTAAATCATCTAAACCAGGAAATATTTAGGAAATACAGTAGGTTTATTAAAGCCAAGATACTGTTACTCTAGAAGTATTGTATTTTGGTTATGAAATTGTTAAAAACCTCTCATAGTCTAAGTCTGAGGATTATTTCCTTTAAAAAATTTCCTTTGAACATTTAGAGAAAATGGATCATGTTGTGGGAGATTTTCTAACCAGTTCTCCTGAGCGCTGAGTATTAAAAAACCCTGTGCTAGATTCTGACTTTCTCTTTTTTTGCAGATGGTCCCGTGTCAGTTGGAATGAGTCTGGATATTGCAAGCATTGATACGATATCAGAAATAAATATGGTATTGTAGCTTTTGCAATCTGTTTTGTTTTGCTTGTTGATGTGTTTACAGCTGCCGGCAATGCGACTTTGAGTCGCCTTCTGCAGTCAATATGTGTTAGGAGACTGAATTTTATTTTTCACTACAGATAGTGGTTATAGCATTAAAATAAGTAGAGAAATGCAGATATAAATCACAGATCTCACATACAAACAGAAATTTGCTACTGAGTATTAATTGTCATGAAAGGAATATAGAACCATCTTTACTTTCCAGATGGAATGTCTAAATCTTTATGCATTTCAGAAAGTTATAGATTCATGTGACTTTGAAGCCACTCCCTTTCCTTGTGATTAAGCACAGCTGAACAAGTATTGGTTTTCTTTTACTTTTACTATTTCACATGAATTTATTTCAGCTGTGTTTCATTAAATTTGTGTAATTTTTTTTTTTGAACAATCTATGAAATGGAGTTTTCTAATTAAAGATACTCTCCATTGGTACTTAGAAATAAAAGACAAAAATAGTGAATCAGTCAATATTAGAAAATATTTGTGTGCTTTTGTGTCTATAGAAGCGTGTACATATATAAATATAAAAAATATATATATTAAAATTAAATATATAAAAATTAGAATATATAAAAGTATCTCACCATTTCATTACTCAGGTTTCCACAGAAATTGAACATTAGAATCCCTCTGTACTTAAGTGTTAGATAGTATTTAGAAAGGGGAAAGTAAGGTCAATATCTAAGATGAAGTTATCATCCTGATAAAAGCACATAAGAAAATCAAAATTTCATTAAAGGAGTGCTAAGAAATAACATGATTTTACTATAAGACTTCAAAGTATATCTGAATTAGAGGTGACTTTGGCTAAGAGCTATATTCAAGGTCTTTGTAAATTTGGTACAGTTTCCCTTGTGATGCTGAAAGGATAAATTGTGCTAAAAGATTATTCACTGCTTATTCCACTAACTTCTTTTGTCCTTTTGTCTATACGAATTTATGCAACTTTCTCCAAAGTTTTCTTAAAAAATGCATTATTTAGTAGTTTATGTGAACAAAATGATGTTTGCAGCCACTTATATAAATCATTCTAAGATTTAACGATTTACAGAGACAGATTATCTGCTTGCAAAACTGATGACTTCAGTTGATTTATAGGCATGGACTTAGGCTAGCAGCTTTTACTGTAAAATTCCAATAGCTGTAAGAACAAAGTGTACTTAAGATAATATTTTGTAATGATGTCAACCTCACATCAACTGCTGGAAAATTTGGCAGTGCAAGAGCCAGTACAACTGCTTTCAGAATGCCAACATTTAAGAACAGGACATGGGGAGTCATGGGCTATTTGTGCCTAGCAGCTGTTTCCATATACTTTTGTAAAACAGAATATAAAACAGGCTTGCTCTGTGTGATAATTTTGTTTTTTCTCTTTCAGGACTACACGGCTACCATATTTCTAAGGCAGCGATGGACTGATGAGAGACTTTGTTTTGATGGTAATAAAAGTTTAAGCTTAGATGGTCGGCTGGTGGAAATGCTTTGGGTACCAGATACCTTCATAGTTGATTCAAAAAAGTCTTTTCTTCATGATATCACTGTTGAGAATCGTCTTATAAGAATATACCCTAATGGAACAGTCTTGTATGCTCTACGGTATGTATATGCTGCATACCAGCCTTCATATTTGATGTGTACTTATATTTTAAACTTTACAAGTTAGCGTAAGTTTATGCTTAAGAAACTTATCTATTTGTAAAAGTAGAATACACATGATCTTCTAGTCTTAAAAATATGCAGTGCTATTGACCCAGATGATTAAATTTCAAAATTGAACAATAGGTTTCATTTTCTTCTCTAAATAGACCCTTTTACTTTCAAACCAAATGCAAGAGTTGTGTTTTGCCATTCCAGTTGTTTTTCAATGAAATCATCAGAGGAAAGCAGGCTGTGATTATTGATTTGCATTATTTATTGCACATTATCATTTATAATGATTTTGATAAATATAACAAAATTGTAAAATATGTTACAAAATACCAGTAAAGAAAAATACACAGTGTGAGAAAGGAACAAGGGGTGGCCTTTTTTAGATTTCCATGAAATTCAGCTGTTCGAGAGTGGTTTCTTGTTTGGGGTGCTATTACCAGTAAATACTAGATTTTTTCCTCCTTGCAATAGATAATTGAATGAACATATTAGTTTAATAGGGATACATAGCTTATTTTTATTTTTACTGATAAACAGTTTAATCCCATTAATAATTAGCAATGCTCTTTTGTTTCAAGGATCACTGCAACTGTTGCATGCAGCATGGATCTGACCAAGTATCCGATGGATAAGCAGACGTGTACTTTGCAACTGGAAAGCTGTAAGACACTTAATCCTTATTATTTTTATACAATTAGAAAAAGATCTGTGATCTTCTTCAAGGACTGCTAGATATTATTACCAAAGAGGCTAGAATTTTTGAAGAAGCCAAGGCACAGTATGTGACCAGCTCCTATTGAATTGTAGTAGCGTCTGTATAAAATGATAAATGCAGGAGGCATTACTGAAGATAGCATATGTGTACTGAAATGCTGCCATGCTATTAATGATTAAACAAAACATCAGGAGATTATTTTAGGTTTGGTTTTGTTGCACAACCTGCAGTTATTCCGTTGGTCTTCAGGGGGAGTTCTGAGAGCAGATATTTTCCAGCACAGGTTGAGAAAATACAGTTTTCTTCTCTTTCAGCTAGTATGTATTTTCCCCTCCCTACGTACAGTTCCTTTAGGAGAGAATGATATTGGAATAAGGCTTATTTGTAAGGCATAGAGTTCATGTTTAATTAATTTACTGTTTTCATACTGAAAAAAGGTAATTTCATAGACAGTTCTGTTTTGAGATGGATACATACAGATCGTGCTATCACTTACATAATTGCCTCTGTGGTAGTGCCCTGGGAAAAAAATGTCATTGGTTGATGGACCAAAACTAAATATACCTTTATAAGTTCTCATTTTAACAATCCATATCCTTATAATTTTCATTAAGATATGCTTGCTAATACTTTTGAGGCATGGTTACTTTGCAAATACCTAAATGTGCATGCTTCTAATTAGCTTTTTTCTGTTAGTCATAAGACTCTAGGAAAATATTTTTTTGCATGGGATAACCTTAAAGAATAAACTATTTTGTAAGATGAAAATGCATGTTCCAATATATGTCAACACATATTCAAAGTCTTTTGGGAGGCTTTTCAGTACTTGTCAAGTTTTACTCTTTATAATTTCAGAAGTGTGTGTATGTATTCTTTGTCTCTTGTTGATAATGAACAATTAGAAGATTGCAAAGTTTCATTTTGGGTGGAAACAAAAGGAAATAAACCCCAAAATTTTCCTCACACAGGAGTCCCTCTAGAATCAGCACTTTTATATGGTCTGTTCAATAAGTAGTGATTTGAATTAGAATTTGGATTTATCTCTAATTTCCTTTGGAATAGCATATTGGAAAATCAACATATATTGGTTGACATCAACAGCATTGCCTAGTGAGTCATTTAATATTTTCTCTAGTTCCAGAATGAAATATATGTCCCACAGGAACTTAAAATTTATTTGACAGGATTAAAAAAATAATTCCCTATATTATTGAAAATAAGTGTTTTCCCGAATGGTTCCATCTGCTTTTTCAACAGCACACAAGCGTCTCTTGTCCAAGGGGAAAACATGGTAATGTCCTCACAAATGTTCTCATGACATTGGTGTTTAGTTTTGAGGAAAACAGCTAGAAGCAACAAATACAAAAGGAAAGAGTGTGCGTTTAGCTGTGGCCCTTTTTCTTCAGTGTACTGCAGTACTTTCTTTGAGATAAGTCAATTTATAGATGAATCATCTATAGATCATCCTAGAATACTGCTTGCAAATACCAGTACCTGGAATTAAGAATTGTGAATTCAACACACCTACACATCCACAGAAATACTGAGGTTTATAAATAAATAGTAAAATATATAGCAAATATTTGAGCAGAAACAAAGGTTAGGCTTTTTGTTAAGTGATTACCAATGTAAAGACAAACATGGCAAGTAATGACTTTACACAATAAAGCAACCCTAGTGGCCTTTGCAATGTGCTATTCTACTGTAACTAGTTAATAATATTTGTTGACTTACGCTTTCTATGCAGCAAAATACATCTCAGCCAAAATGTTTGTTGTTTTTTTCCCGTTATTGCAACACTTTAGAAGGTAGTACTGGCATATGTTAGGAGACAGAGAATTGCCACTCTGTTGGTATTACAGATGCAACAGATGGGGACTTGGAGGCCTCCTGTCTCAGTTGGTGCTGCCAAGGGGTTCATGCTCTCTGCCATGTGTTAGGGAGCACCACCATTCATTCACCCTGGGCTAAAGGCCTTTTTCCTCAATTTTTCCCCACACAGCCTCCAGTCCAAATACATATTCATATTTTGGGCCCATCTCTGCAATTTAATTTCCTTTTTGAACTTGTCCTTTAGCATTTATTCAGTGAAGAGCCATGTGAAGGCACTTAACTTGTGCTTGACAATCAGGGAAAATTAAAATTAGCAACAGAAAGGTAAAAGAACTCATTTGTATTAGGCACTATGAATGTTTAATCCAAAACTTACTATTCCTGTAGTTAACCCTGTTGACATTAGCTGTTCGTACCTGTATCAGTGAAGTACAGGAATGGGACATTTTGGGCTTGAGGAATTAGTTAGAATGAAAACTCAGCGTCATGTAAAGAGAATGGAGATTATTTGTAAAAGCCATATAACACAGCTTAAGGATTTTGTCTCTATTAACTTTTAAAATATTTTATAATTAGTAAAATATTAATCCCCTAAATAAAGAATAACTTTGCACTGTGCTATTTAACTTTACTGACTATTGGGAAGTCTATCCCAAGAAAATCCTTCACAAATAGAGTTTTGGAATTAGTATTTTCAATTAATTTTCATAGGAAAAACCTACTGTTGTTCAACTAATCAAAATAATTTGTAACAAAATTAGCTCTATTAAAGCAAAACAATCTCCATTTGGGGATGTGCTTGTTATCGCCTTTCCCATCTCACACAACTTGGAAGACTGAATATCCTGTAAAATAAATATTTACTGTGGTGCTCTCTAGTTCTTTAGGCTTTATTTAAAGAGCTGCAGTTCATTTATACTAAGGGAAAGTAAAACGAACCCATGCCTGAAATCATGAATAAAAACTGCTTCTATGAACCTTTTTGTTTTGACTGAGGACAATGCAATCTTTTGTTTGTAGGAAATGTTACTTTTATTTTTTGTCTCCCAAATCTGGGAGATTTCCCAGCATGTGGTTTTAGGGAATCGAAAACTTAGCTTGGATACACATGCTTTTGGCTTAGTCTTTTGACACAACAGCATTTTAGCTTTAATTGCTATATACATATGATAATGTGAACAGATTCCTGGTCATGATACCTTTTCAGAAAACTGCCAGTGATAGTGAAAACAATATGTGCATTTAAAGAGTCATCAGGGAGAGAGCATTTCCAGTTGATATTGTCACTTTAATAGGCAACGAGCACAGTGTTTCCTTGAAATGAAATTTCTGAACTCCTGTTTTTCCTGCATTAAATAGCTGTAGGAAATTAGGTCTTTTTTTTTGTCACTGCAAGAAGCAAAGCTGTTAACTTGAAAATATTAAACTGCCATTTTTATTTTAATGCATCTTCTTTTCTGTGATTCTAGCGCTTTGTTCCTTTTGCAGCATATACCCTTGTGCAATGTATTGCATTCTTTCCTCACTGTAATTTACTTACAATTGACTGAAGTCTAAAAATAATCATCCGCTCATGTTTCTATCTCCTAAGCTTAGCACTTGCACAATATAAGTCTGTCAAATACAAGAATGATTGATCTAAGTAAGCTAAAGGAAAAGCTGTTCAAATGCTCCCTGTTAACATGTAAATTACATTAACATAATCTTGAATTAATCATATACACTAGTCTGAAAATTGCCTGCCTTTTAATAGAATGGGAAAAAGCTACGGAGGTATTTTAGCTATGATTGTGCTGCATATTGACAAGTGTGTGCAAAATACAGTTAGTTGCCTTCTGATAGATGATTCATGTTCTGTCTCAGCTTCTAATTACTACTTGAAGGTTAAGAGGATATCTCCTGGGGCCCCTGAAGTGTGCCATGCTTTTGAGCCTGCAAAAACACAAGCAACTAAGCTGGTGTCCTTGGGAAGCATCCAAGCTCCTTAGCCAAAATGAAGTCCCGAGTGATGACCCAAGCCCAGTTCAGAGCACAGTGCCTGCATGCAGCAGTGATGCTGCTCTCCTCACTCCTTCATTTCTTTGGGAATGGGGACCAAATGCACTGCATCAAGAAACAGCATCCTGGGAAGCAACAAAGGATACTCTTAATGTTTGGTTCGAATTTTGGCAGTGCTGTAATTTAGGAAAGCTTTATTTCTTTAAAGCTTAAGAGCTTTTGCCTTGAGAATACCATGTGGTACTAATCTCTTTTACTAGTTTGTCATTTATACTAGAATAAAAGATACAAAAAAGACCACCTCCAAAAAGTCAGCTTTTAAATTACAAGACTTCACATTTTAGTGGGAGTTTTGTTGCAAACAGGCATTACACTCTGCCAAACCCCGTCATTGTTTATGTCTAATTGTACTTTCAGGCAGACAAATAAGAAACAGCTGAACCCTAAGTGTGCTTAACACAAATTAATTATTGTGTAAAATAAACACGTTTTTTGGCTTGTGTATCACTACAGGGGGTTATAACATCAATGATGTCATGTTTTACTGGACTAGAGGAAATGATTCAGTTCGAGGGTTGGACACACTCCAACTGGCACAATACACAGTAGAAGACCACTTCACATCTGTGTCTGAAGCAGTATATGAGACAGGTAAGAACACCCTTATAACACTTTCTAGGTACAGTTTGCAATATGGCTCTGGAAATGGAGCAGCATTATGGCACTGAGCATATGGCTTTCTCTTAGGATTTGACAGTTTTAATTTTCTACTAGGTTGTAATCTTGAAACTGTAAATACTTTTTCAGTTGCTACCAGCAGAGACCAAGCTGAGATTGAGATTTTTTGAGCATTTTCTTGGAGGATACACATTACCTAAAGAACGATAAACAAGACATTTACTACTGTTTCTATGTAAAGCCAGAGTTCTTGTGAAGGAAGAAGAGCCTGTAAATTGGTCATTTAAATTGAAGAGAGATGGGGAACCCTGGGTACCCAGTTCAGAACAGTTCCCAGCCTCCTGGAAACAGCCATTCTGGCTTTATTAGGGAAGTTAAAAGCCTCTATTCACTCATGGAAATTTCTGTGAATGTGCTGGGTGCTTGAACAACTGCAAGAAGTTGGTTTTCATGGATAGTGCTTGCTATCCATGTAGGAGTTGCTCCTTATCTGCAGCAGCTTCTGTTCAGCCCAGGGAAGGGTCAGAAGCATTACCTCAGACCTGTTCTTTTCCTGATCTTAGAAAACCACTGTAGAAAGTTTCCTCTAACAGCAGACTTACCCTCAGGAAAAGGTCTGCTTCTGTTTATTTCCCAGAGATTTCAAAAGGGCTTTCAGAGAGTTCGAGACCTGCCAAACCTGCTTCATGCTCTTTGTGTTACTCTTGGGTCTTTCATTGCTGCTCTTCACTGCCTACTCAGTTTCTCTTCTGCTGAAGTCAACAAGCCAACTGATGTTCTTTAAATAAAGACACACACATCCTTAAAACCTGTAGTTTCATTGGGATATGTTACTGATTCTGAATTACAGGAATATAGTTTCTCTCTTCCATTACTGGGTAATTCTGCTTTAATAATGCAACACAGAGAAACTCTGTGATCTAATTCCAGGTATTAATTCAGGCTAAAAGTCAGAGTTCTCTAAATAGATATAAAAATAGAAATGAAATACATATTAGCAGGCTCCAGGATGGCAAAGTATCTTGCTCCTTAAATAAGTGACATCTTCTTGCCTTCCTCCTTTTTACAGCTTCTGGATAAGCAACATCAGGTTCAATCAAAGGAGAATCATCTTTTACAGCTTTTCTGCCGAGAAGGGTATTAGGACCTGTTCACCTTACAGGAAAATAGGAAGAGAAAACCTGCTTAATTGTCACTATCTCCTGTCACAGAGTCCAGACTCTAAAGCCAAAAGACCTTCTATTATTTTTTTATCAAATAGACTAAAATCCATTTCCAGTTATAACTGAAGGACATGATAGGATGAACTGTGTTTGTCTGCTCAGTAAATGATGCTGTCTTCCTCCGTTTATATTGGCAGGAATTGTATGTATAAAGTCAAAAGCCACTTTTCCTTGTAATTATAGATTTTAACACATGTAACTTAATTATATTAAAATTTCCCACACCTGCTTATTTCAAATCTCCTGCTCAAGAATGCCATGTTCTCAAGTGCTGTGCAGTACTTTTAAAATGAAATCTCATAATCCTTTTAATTTTCTATTGAGTCATTATGTATTAGGTGGTATTTCCTAAATTTTCATTTTATTTTTTTTATGAAAGCAGTGTCTACTGTAACCTATATTAAAAGAAAAAACCAACCAGGTTATGGAATGATACAATCAATTTTGAAATGAAAAATGATGTTTTGCATTTCCTTACTTTATAAATAAGTTACATTATAAATAACAGTTATTTATAACAGTTGCAATTCAAAAAGCTAAAGCTAAAGATACAAGAGAACTGTGTGCAGGATTTCCTAACGCAGCAAAAAAAGCAATCAGGGTTTGATAATCTGTGAACTTGAACAAACAGTACAGCTGCTGTGCAAGTGCAATATTGTACAACAGTGCAAAACCTAAGTTCATGTACAGCCACTGACAGCCAAATTTAAAATGTAGTCAGCAAAATTCCTGCATAAGTAACTTCAGTAAATTTAAGAAAAGGGCACTGTGGATTAATCTTGTTTGTAGAATAGCATGTATCAACAGAATGGTAATCACATTGTTGTAACCACATAATAGTAAGTCACTTTGAATAATGTTAGCTATGTTGCTGACTATGGTTTGGTGTTGGTTTTGTTTTGGTACAGACCAGTTTCATTTTGGACATGGGCAAATTAATTGTTAGAACCGTTTTCTACATGTCTTCATCTACAGTCCTTATTCTGCTTGCTCTTGGACCCCAAACCCATGTAACTGGAGCACTGGGTGCCGGGTTTTTATTTTAGCTGTGTAGCTAACACCACCTGCATTCCTAGAGTAATAAATAGTGGTATAAAAAAGCTTTCTTATTGAAAAAATATAAAAGCAACAAAGGACTTTTAAAGTTTATCTTTTTGTGTAAATAATCATAGCAATAACGCTGAAACACACTCTAAGAATTCATTTAATCTTTTCTCATGTTGCAAGGCAAGGTCATCTATACCTACAGCCTACTTCCTGACAGACGTTTCAAGGAGTAAGTTAGTCAAAACTCTAAACTGTCTCCTTCACAACCTCCCCAGAAGTTTTCTTTCTTTCTGGTGATTATTACATGTATATTTTCCTCATGTCTAATCTTGATCGCCCTTGCTGCATTTCAAACCCATTATATGGATATGGAATCCAAATTTCTTGCTATTTTTCAGCAGGTCTTTCACTGTTTCAAGACAGATATATCTTCACATCAACAGTTTCCCTCTTTTTAATATATATAACCAGCTTTCTAGATCTCCTGTCTTTGCTGTTGGTCTATCGTTTTCCTCTTATCTTTGCTGACATGCAGCACCCAAAACTGGGTACCCTGCTCCCATTAGATGTCCTCCAAGGTGTGAAGAGTTCACTTAATGCATTTGATGAACTCTGTTCCTCTTTATCCATTCTGGGTTGATATTTGCTTTCTTGCAGGAAATTATTTTTTTTTAGCTTGTTCAAATCGTGATTTCTTCTAATACTGCACCTCCTTTATTGCCCTGTAGCTACATATTCCCTGTACTCTCTTTGGGGAGCTGGTAATCCCTATCTGAGTGTAGAACTTTGTACTTGCTTTTGTTGAATTGTGTCTTGTTTTACTCAGGCTGTTTCTGATAGTTGTTGGGGTAATTCTGAGTTCTAATCTTGTTCTCCAATGTGGTAACACTCTTCTCTTAAGAGACCCCTGGTATGTCATCATGTTTGTCAGTGAGCTGTACTGGGCACTGGGCAGACCCCATGTATTCCCACTCAATAAATGTTCCTGTGTTCAAAGCAAGTGATAGCTAATTAATCTCAGTTAACATTTTTAATTGGGGAAAAAAGCAAAAATGTAATTTAATACTTGAGGCTAATTGGCTCTTGATGGCTTTTCTTCTGGTCTGCAAATTTCCTGAAGTCTTGCTTTCACTACTGGAAGTATTCAGCAGCAGCAGGAATGAAGAGGCTCAGCTTGCTCATGTCTAGTCTAACACTGTCTTCTGCCTGAGCCCAGAAGGCAGGGAGAGTTATGTCAAGTAGTCAGGGCTCTTGGTGCACATCCCCACTTAGAGAAGCGTGAAGGCAGCAAAATGACATATTCAGATGGTATTATTTTGGTAGAATAGAAGGAAAGAAGAGACAGAAACATAAAGTCAGTCTCTGCTGCTTGATGCACAAAGACAAGACATTTGCCCTCTTGAAAAGGCAAAGGGAGCTGGCTGCTGTTCCTTATCTGCAGTCACTGCCAGGGTTTTGACATCTGTCACAAATCCTGCTTTAGCCTCCTTGAGCTAGATGCTGTCAGACCTTGCTTAGATGTGCAGTGCTGAAACTGATTTGGCCCCTGGCCACTCCATGTTATTTGCTTCTCAGGTGGAGGCAGTACTAAGCCAGTAGTGAGTTGCTCTAGCTGATAGTTAGTGAACTGAAAATCAAAAAGTATGCAAAATATATATAGACTATAAAGGATGTATAGAAGTATATAAATATAACAGACTCTTACACAGAGTGTGTGTTCATCAGTCAGAGTCTCTTTCTCTTGAAATACAGGCATTGCCTTGTTTTGTCCTAGAGGCCTACCTGCAGTTTCCCAAGGCTCAGGAGGTTTATTAGATAATAATCAAACTTTTCAATCAAGGTACTTATCTTACTACATCACCCAGAGAATTGCATTTCAGTTGCACAACTTATTTGTCGGGTAAGAGTGGGACACTACTCACACCTTTGTAAATGAACAAACAATAAAAGATTGCATATTGAAAGCAAGATTTTCAGCACATGGTTAAAGCAGTAAAATTCTATTTAAAGCTTTCCTGTGCTGTGCCCTTAAAAGTTCTAAGAAGAGAAGATGATGATGCATTGGTAGAGTTACACTGACGCATTTGTGTGAGATGTACATCGCACATTTAATCTGGCACCCAAGGGGTTAGCATGCATATTTCATGATAGAGAAGAATGTGCCTTTGTGCCTGACTGCACATCCATGTGCAGGATACCAAAGTGCTTCTTACATAAAGAGTGATATGGAGCAGTCTTTTACTGGAGTAGAGTTCATCAAAAAGTCCACAGGATGTAACTGTGGGGAAGATGCTCCCATCCTGTAACACTAGAGTGGAAGTTAGGAACTGCTGACAGCATTTATACAGCATCAGTCCTTTGTTCAGGTGCCTCTGTTGTGACCATTTGCTGATCAGAGGGCAGCAGGAAAGAGCAGAGATGCAGTGTTCTGCCATCAGCCAGGAAGAGACGCCATAGAAAAATGGGATAATAAAAAAAATGGATGACCTAGGGTGATAAGGAAGCCTGTTTGTTTAGGTCTATATCAATTTCTTGGGCAGTGCAGCAATAGTCAGTGTTAATAAAGTTACCAGTATTATGGCAAGATCTATACAAAGTTTCAGATAGGCAGTACTGTAAATGAGAATGCTGTTTTTAGAAGCCAAAATCCAAACTTCAAAGGCAAGTTACAAAGAGGAATACACTAGGTTTTGCTTTCAGAAAGATCTGTTTTAGACCTGCTCAGCTACTGGTAAAGTCTATGCTGTTACAATTTTTATGATACTGAAACAAAAGTAGCCAATTGGAACCAACTGAAATTCACTTTCTTTCATGCCTACTTTAGTATTGTGAGTTGGAGTAAGTATGCAGACTATGACTGCTATCTAGATTTGTTCCTTATGTGCAAGCTATAGATACTGTCTGGTTTGTACTTCTGCCATCTAGTAAATTCTATAAAGCCCAAGTAACTCTGCTTAATCTTCTTTTGCTGTGGGGTGACCTAAGTAGGTCATAAGTAGAATAGCTTACCTTCTAGTAGGTGTAGCATATATATACTATCAGTCATTTAAGTTCAGATTCATCTGAGAAACAGTAATTTGATACTTTGTAAGCGGGTAAGTGCTAACATTATGCCTTTGCTTCATAGATAGCTATTTGCAGTGATTATTTCCATCACATTATCAAATTGAAATCAGAGCTGTCGCACACTGAGGTGACATCCATCATAGGCCAGAAACTTACAGGAAAAAGCATCTTCTCATTTGCCTAGAAAGGTAGGACCACATGATCCTTGAGGTCCCTTCCAACCTGTGTTTCTATGATGCTATGCGATACTTTGCTGTTAATAAGACTCAAGCAAGGGGTAAACTTGACAGTTTTGAGGCGTCAACTTGAGCTGTACTTAACTGTATTAAAGCCAGGACTAAGATAACATGAACTGGTTTCACTTTTGATCTCGCTGATGGCAGCATAGTCTCAAATGTGCATGTCAAAGGCAATGAGATTACTATCTCATATGCAACTCATGTAATAGGAGTATCAGTTTTGTTTCTTTTTAAAGATGGTAACTTTTGGTACCTGTTGAGTGTAAGTGAAAAAAGGACTGTAATACTTCCTTATGTTCATTTTGTCCCATTGCTCCTTTCTTTAGCAAGCTAAGTATGTATTGCATACTTTTTCTTGATTACTACTTCAGTTTATTACAGAAGTTCATATGAATTCTATATATAGGTTTGTCCTGAGTTCAGCAGTAGCAGTCATTTTTCTCCTTCTTGGTAGCTGGTGCAGTGCTGTGTTTTGAATTTCGACCTGGGGACAGAGCTGATAACACTGATGTTTTAGTCTGACCAAGGACTTTGTGAGCCTCATGCTCTGCCAGGGAGGAGGGGAAGCTGGGGGGAAGCAGACAGGACACCTGACCCAAACTGACCAAAGAAGTATTCAATACCACAGCATGTCATGCCCAGGAGGTAACTGAGAGTTACCTGGAAGGGCTCGCTCTCTGCAGGGTTGGACTAGGTATCGGTCGGTGCTCGGTTGGTCGGGGGGGGGGGGGTGGGGTAAGTTGTTGCTGGGTGGGTGGTGAGGTGTTATATTCTCTTCCCTTGTTATTTCCCTTATCATTATTGTTATTGGTGGTAGCAGCAGTGGTTTGTGTTATACCTTAGTTACTAAACTGTTCTTATCTCAACCTGTGGGAGTTGCATTCTTTACAATTCTCCTCTCCATCCCTTCGGGAGTTGGGGGAGGGCAAGGAGTGGGGAGTGAGTGAATGAGCTGTCTGTCTGGGTTTAAAGCACGACAAGGTTGCTTCAAAATTTCCATTTTAAAAGGTCTTCTGAAATCTAGAGAAATGCTGGTGCTATTATTGTCATGTCCATGATGTGTCTTTGGATTCTGCAGAAAGCAGAAAACCTCAAGGTTAGAGAAATGCCTTTTCTTTGTTCCCCAAAAAGCCACTCAGCTATAAGCTGTTACATCTCTGTTTCTCTTTGTTATTCACATTACTTCAGAAATTTCTGGCATCAGGAAAAATAACACGAAAAAGCACAGGAACTTTCAAAGAGCTTGTCTACACTTGGAAATCGCAGCAAAGTGGCAAAACATTTGATATTTTGAACTATCTTCCCATGAACACACTTGGCTTTTATACAAAGGTGAATGGAGATACAGTTGTAGGATGCTAAAGAGGAGAGGGTATTTCTGCATGGCTATTGTGTATCATCTATTTCAGAGTTTTCCTTCTTAAAGATAAGCTTGAAGGCTGAACCACAGAAACCCCCAAGTACCTGTGGTATTCTCTACAGGAAGCATAGTCCAGTCTCTTCACTCCCCTTTGCTGCGTACATGGAACCGCATCGTGCCCTATGGTCAGCACAGAAACAGAAGACAACTTTTGTGGAGGATTGTTGATGGTTTGCACCCTCTGTAATCTCACCTGACCTCTGGGTTGACAGCCTTCCCTCACTTGCAGTGACTGCGCCATTGTCCTTCTGTGTGCTGGCAGATACTATGCTGCAGTAATGACAGTACAAACACTGCAGAGAAAATCTTCTGTTTCTATTTTAAGGTACCTGCTTTGAGTTCTTGTTAAATAGCAGCCCAGAAGACTGCAAGCAAAATTCATAAAATCCTGAACAGTTTTTAATAAGGTTTTAAATGATTGCTCTTCCATACTAGGAAGCCACAGATTTACAATTGTCTGTACAACCCTAATTCTCTTTCCCTAATTATGCTTTATGCTACAGTCTTTCATGGTACAGACAGGTTTTTTTTTTCACGGTGGTAGTGCTTCATTTAGTGCAAGGATGAATGCAAACAGAAGCAGAAATAATGTTGCACAGTGGACTGTAAGTTTTTCACGTCCTAAATTTTGAGTGCCTTACTTCGGTCTGCTTACATTTAAAATCAGTTTTGGTAAGCAAAATGCCTTTTACTGAAACAACTGTATTGGTAAAAATCACAGTATTGATAGAGTCACAGTACTGATAGAGGTACAGTAATGTAATGTTACTTTTTTCACATAAAAATTATGATAAAGGTGTAAATCATCTTTGTCCCTCCTGCCTCATGGAGATAAAGTCTACTGTCCATCTTTCTATCTTTCTATCAGTCAGAAACTTGGGGAACTCAGTATGTTGAACTTAAAGAGGAACACTAAATACAGGGTATTTGTACATTCAGAAGGAGAAAGAACTGAGTACCAAAGGACTATTTAATCCACTAGTGAAGAGGCAGAGTCAATGCAGCAGAAAACTGAAGTCAGCTAAGTAATTAGGCATTAATTTTTAACACACAGAATGGTTTACTAAGAGAAATGGTGGATGCTGCATGTCTGGATATCCTCAGATTAAGTCTAGATGTCTGTGTGAAAGGTGAATTCTGTTCAACCAAAGTGATTGAGCTCAAAGCAAGGCACAATTGGGGAAATATAAAGGCCCGTGATTAGAATCAGACTACATAGTCAAATCATTCTGGTTTTAAGAATCCTGTGAAACCTTGTTGTTCCCTCAATTAAATTTATACAGTACTTTTAAACACGGAAATTTAACCATCCATTTGCTAGACTGGGAGCAATAAGATGTTTCTTGACATCTGTTACTTGCACTTCAAGCTTTTAAAAGTACTTTTATTTGACTTGATGTCTCACAGTGCACCTAAGGGATGCACAAATAGGCTGTCAGATCATATATTGTTGTTTCTAAAGTGCATTCACCATTCTATAGTTCTGTCCTATCTCACAGCATGCAGCATTGGAAATGAGCATAGGTCCTGGAGACCATAATCTGTTGGATTGATATAGATGAAGGCAAACCTATCTGACGACAACTTTTCAAGCTCTCGCTGATAACCTGCTGTGAAAGTTGTTAAAACTGATGTCATTAAAAGCAAACACTTTAACACTTGATTTTGAACTGGGAACTTCAGATTAAGTAGTTTTTAATCACATTTAAGTTAGCACAAAGCAAGCTTTTTCCTTACTGCGATCTGTTTTACTGGTAGCAGTTTCAGATCCTGTGCTTCTGCTGCCCAAACATAGCCAAATGTTGCTCAGTTACTGAGCTGGACAACAAAGGCTTTGCTTACCGATGTGCTGTCCCCTTATTAAACCCAATTCCGTATTTGACTCTGTGAGCCCAAATATTCATTTTCTGGAAATCACTCACTCAGAAGCCAGAACAGTGATACTGCTCAGACCAACACAAATACTTCAATGCACTCATGCACTCATGTAAAATAAAAAACAGATAGTGAAGATGCAAAGATATTGTTTGGCTTTAAGTGAAATGCAAGAGGTAGGTCAGCAGTATCAGAGAAGGTACCTTTAAACCACTTCTTGAGCAATAGTAAATGAAAAGAAAAGCAAAATAAACCAGAGATGTGAGGTAAGGACCCATGCTACCTTGAAATGACAGTTACTTTTATGCTAGTTTATATAGTAGCTCATTCTTTATGAATAGTCACATCTAAATACATATGTGATTTCAAATTTCCTTGCCTTGTTTTATATAATGAAACATCCTTTCCACACATTGGTGAATTTATTTTTGCCTTCACTAATTCTCACTGAATTTCCAATTCAAGGTGTTTTTAATGAAACTCTGGATACGGTGACTGGGTGCTACATATTTTGGTTTTATCCATCAGTTCAATTTATAGTCTTCATGATAGGATTTTTCAGAGCTGTGTTTTTTCAAGCTTGTTTGTTAGGCTTTTCCTGCATTGTAATGCACAAACGTAGTACAGGTTGGTAATTTAAAGAACTTTTAATGAATTATACCTTCACAGTATCTTTTTTTCCTGCTCTTTCCATAGGACGTTACCCGAAACTAGTGTTTCACTTTGAACTGAAGAGAAACATCTTGTATTTCATACTAGAGACATATGTGCCATCAATCCTGTTGGTTGTGCTCTCCTGGGTATCATTTTGGATAAGCCAGTCATCAGTTCCAGCCAGAATCTGCATAGGTGAGGAGCTGATGATAAAACACAGCAAACCAAACCAAGAGTTGGATCATTAAGATGCTTTCTTTATTGCATGTACATGGCATCCACTTCAAATGTTGCAAATGCTTGAGTTTTATGGAACTAGTTTTCTAGTTTGTCATCTTCAGTACATCCTGAAGACTCCGCTTAAAACCTTGCTATTCTTTTCCTAAGAAAATGTCTTCAGGAACTACAGGAGATTTAGAGGCAGGGGAGGCTGCTAAAAGCAAAGGAAAAAAACCTCAGTCATTTTGGAAATAATTTCAACATATGCAACCACATGGTGTGCAGAGACAGAAATGTGAGACTTTTGTGACGTTTAATGATACATACTAATTAACAGATGAATAATAAGAGAATGAAAAGAGATTAATTATAATTAATTTCAAATAAAGGATATTCTGAAAGGGAAATAGTGCAAATCAGTTTTGATCAGAGTGCAGGTGGGGTGGGGAAAAACCCTCCTACAGAATACAGGAGAAAGAAAGATTTTACATCAGATGGGCAACTGCACTGAGCAAAATCATAACTGAATATTTTCAAAGGAGAATTTGCACAGTATTGCAGTAGTAATGTGTTAATCATAAATATACATTGTATGACACCAAAATATCTTTCATTTTAATTTACAGTCTTCTCAGCTTTACAAACACTTCTCATAAGTGTTTTTAAGCATTTAACTTGAGAATCACAAGTTCATTTGAAAGTCTCCTTTCCAAAGCATGACACATTAATTGCTGTGCCATACTAGACGTTCAGAAAGCCAAAACTGTCTTGCACAGGGCCCTTGCAGTAGAGGCCCTCATTGCTATCTGTGTTTTATCAGAACCTGTATTTTTTGCATTCCACAGGTGTTACCACAGTACTTACTATGACAACACTGATGATGGGAGCCAGAACTTCGCTCCCACATGCTAATTGCTTTATTAAGGCAATTGATGTCTACCTTGGTATCTGCTTCAGTTTCATTTTTGGAGCACTGTTAGAGTATGCAGTGGCTCATTTCTGCACTTTGCATCGACTCCGTTCAAAGGAAATTCCAAAGGTATTTTAATTTTTTTTATTGTTATCCTGCAAAACAGACTTCAGTGATACCTGCTAAACAGAATGATTTATCTTAGCACTAATGGTAAATGTATTTAAGGAATTTTCTATTTTGGAATAAGGGCAGTGAAATCAGAATATCCTTAAGAAAAAATAGCTGTATAACTGGACTTTTTTAGAAGAGATCAAACTGATACACACTTCCATAATGATTTTTTCTTTGGGTATGGACTTTATGGCCATTTATCAAATGATGTACTAGATGTATCTCAGAAATCACAGGCAGTTGTTGTCTTCCCTGCAATGGCCATACATTTTCAGTTTAAATATTAGAATGAGATTAGTGACTTAGTCTTATTGTAATACAGCAAAAAAGAAAAAACAATATCACATTCTGTTCATGAAACCTTCTGTGCATGCATGGTACATGGGTCAGTTTACTAACAGTCAGCCTCAGTTATTAAGTGTATATAGCCTTCAGCTTACACCTCCTCTTTCAACATCTGCAGCTGAAGCTCAGACTGGGACTCACTCTCTGTTCTGCATCATTATTATAGCAGCACTTTTTGCTGCTCTAATGAGCTTCTCACAACCCTGAGATACTGTGAAATAGACTTAAAATAAAAAGGGATCAAATCAACATAGGCATTTTTGAGCCTGGTGGCTGTCATCTTCTGAAATAATCAGGACAGGTTCATGAAGAATTTTTGTCACATCTTCCATCTTCAGTGTTTAATTTTCACATAAGCAGTGAAAAAGAAATCACAAATTGAAAGCTGATTGTCTTGCAGCCTTTAATGATGGGACAGAATCTAGTATACATGATAGGAAAAAAAATTAAACAGCTTATGAAATTTCTGGATGAATAGGTAAAAGTAAAACATAGAAAGTGAGAATAACAGGAAAAAAAAGGCAGAAAGAAGTGTGGTTGAGCACTGTGTGGATAAATGGCCAGAAGAAGAAAGACTGTTAACTATTTAGGCCAATCTATAACAGAACATCACAAATGCCTAAGCAAAGCTCTTCAATAGGTTCAAGAAACAGGATATTAAGTTCAAACCAAGTGGAGAAGCCTAAAAACAATGAAGATCCTTTGTTTTGTTGGGTTTTTATCTTTTTGTTTGTTTTGGGTTTTTTTTTTCTGGCTAGGTAGCTCAGCAGTTAATATGGGGGTTTGGCTGTTTGGATGGTCTGTCATTAAATCTGGGTGTGTGGAGAAGTACTGAAAAAAGAACACAAAGCTAACTCCCCTGGATTTTAAAAGACATCATTTGATGGGGGAATATCTGCAAATGGGCAAACACTCAATGAGGGTTTGTGTGGAAAGCCTGAAAGTAATTTTTCTTGGCAAGGAAGCATCAGTGATAATTCCCTCTGAGCATATCCATCTTGTGAAGTAAATGATTGTCATTTTGCTCATAGAGCAGAAAAAAACCCCAAAAAGGCAGCTTATTGGAGGTTTGGGTAAGAAAGTGCTTGGATGATTAAGCATCTTTAGATGTGTGAAGGGCACTTACAACTGTCCTTGCTTCACCTACCTGTGTCAGATTCCCTTTCATCTGGGTCACAGGTGCTAGTGCTTGCAGATGGTGAAGACATGGGAACTTGTGGATTTGAAAGATGTGCATAGAAGTAAGTTGAGGTACAGCTCTAAAATGAGGAAGGAAGAAAGGCTTAAGGCTATGCTTTTGTGATGGACTTAATGACTGGAAGGAATGGTCTGTTACTTCAAGCATGTTTGCTGCCTTCTGCTGTGCATCACGAGTCAACAAGCTAGTCCCTGACCACACAAACACAAGCGTATAAGGGAAGGAGCAGTTGGTTTGTCCTAGATCAACTCCAGACACTGCAGAATAAGGAAAATGCCTGTCATGTCATTTTCCTACTGTACCCAAGGACAAGCATTGCTTACTGAGCAGGGTGCCATGGAGAGCACACCTGACTTGCATTTCTTATTTCTCACTGTAAAAAAGCAGACTATCACAAGGACAGAAGTACCATATAAAATCTCATGTCATTGTCTAGCAGGTGCTTAACAATTTCTGTGTGTTATCACCATGTGTTTTCCTCATTATCGTAATCTCTTGTAGACGCAGGTTAATTGGAAATCTCACTTCCCAGTTTGTTATTCTCATATGTGAACTGATACAGAATTTGCACTCCGAATTATGTAAATAAATGTAACCTCTGGTTTATACAGGAATTGCACTGGTTTGCTTTCCGGTTTGCTCTTTAAAGCAGTTGGGCTCTGGCATATCAGGTCCCTTTGAAGCCCTTGGGATCTCTGGTTTTTAATATAACCTGGTGAAAGTGCTCATCATATCCACACTATTGCAGTGTCTCATATCATGTGAACCAGAACCCACAGAGACAGCTTCAAAGTTAATGGCAAAAGCAGAGGAACCACCTGCTGAAAGGAAGGTCAGGCAGAATATTCCATTCTCATCAAATGCATTTCAGACTGCCTAAACAGAAAGGCTGCATCTCCAGAATCCTGAGTTATTCCCTTGTATTGCCAAGGTGTGAATTGTGTGAATTGTGCCCTTTTAAAAACCAGAGGACTCCTCCTTGGACTTCATCTGTTTTTCACCTAAACCTCTGCATTTTGGTCAGAAAGGAGAAAGGTTTGAAAACTGAAAATCAGGTTATAAAGGGCAGTGTTCAGCCAATGTGGCATTTCTGTGCAAGCGATGTGCAGCCTTTATGAACACTGCATAAGCTCCAGGTGGGCAACACTCTAGGTTGAAATATGTTTAAGCTTGAGCACCTTTATTGTTCCGTGGAAGTGACAACTTTCCTCAATTCTGTTGGCTGTTAGATGTGAGCAAACACTTCAGTTACTATAAACAGCAGCCATAGTTGCAGGTGCCACATATAGTGCTTTTCAGGTGAGGTACAGTACATTTAATGGATGTTAGCGATTTGGTATCCTGACAGAACCCTCGTTAGTGCCAGTTCCCAGTTTTTCATTGTCAGCTGGAATCCAGGGAAAACTTAGTATGACATTTCAAATTAGAGCCACAGTTGAACACCTGCAACACAAATTATTATTATTAATTTTAATAATCAAAGCCAGCCTAGTTTTTTATCACGTTCAGTTCTCCATAGCGAGTTAGAAAAGTCCCTTGATAGCCCAGGTTTATAAAACTGCAGGTTTTTTATAATCTAACAGTTGTAGTTCTCCTCAAGACTACTTTTCTCCTTTTCACACAATGTGATACAGCACTTTTGCTGTAAATTTATCTCCGTTATGCGAGAGCCCTGCCTTGTATCACTGTAAGCAGAATCAAGTGCATATACACCGTGTACGGTATTTTCTGCTTAAGTACTAGCTGCCTCTTGGGAAGTTGAAAGGAGTTAAGAACAACCTAATAAAGGTCAGCCTCCTGTGAATCGTTCACATGAGGTTGTGTGAAAAGAAAAGTGGCACGTACGCAATGTCCTTTCATGCTCTGCAGTAAAACTAATTCTGTACATCTTTTAGCCAGCCCTACCTGAGAGACAAATAGACTTTTACACTGAATAATGCCCCAAATCCTGTCGTTTTTGAAATATAGATGTTGTTTTTCTCTTTTTTCCTTTTCTAAAAAAAATGAGAACAGGGGGAAAAAAAGTCAAGTTTCTTTATTTTATTAACTTTTGAAGCGCCGAGTGCATTCATTAGGCTGTCACTCTGGTGCCTTGTTTCAAGTGCCAGGCATTGCTGACAAAGGCTTCTCTGCCATCCTCAGCGTTTCCCTCAGCTGTGTGAAGTTTTTGAAGCAGAAGAGCTAGGTATTTGTAACAGAGGTAGGCCCCAAGTAAAACTCCAAATTTGAGATTTAGTACTACCCTGGAGACTGTTTAAGGTTCAGAATGGAATTTTATGGATTGATCCTCTTAATGCTTTATAGGCAGATTTTTATCCTGGCCTTTGGTTTCAAAATGCTCACATAGCTATGGGAGGCCAGGTAGAGAATGAACAAGGTTTTATAGTCAAGAGTAATTTTAGGATAATACATTGTGTTGAGCTACATTTATCTCTCTCAAATAAAATATACTGGTTTTTTTTTGGCAAATTGAAAGTGAAAAGCAGTAATAATCTATTTTTCTAGCTCCATCTGTTCTGTTTCACTGATTCAGAGCAGTCTGAGGGCATTGTCCGGACTCCTCTTTAATTTTCAAAGATGTTGCTAATTTTAAATTATGAAAGGCTCAAGAACTGTGCCATCTACAAGTACCCTGGGCAGAAGAGCAGTTCTGCAACGGCATGGAGATTACTCAGGTGGCTTAATGAGCTTTCTATGGCTTTAATAGCTGGGATATTTCTAAATGAGCTTTTTGTGTGGCTATACATAGGGCTGTACATCTCAACTTTTCTAAAGTTTGTCTTTGTCTAGTCTCATAATGTAAATGGAAAAGCAGATTGGTGAGAAGAAAGAGATTCTGCATTCCACATTTCACAGATAATATTTTAGCCTTTTTCTACTTATACACCGCTGACTGATTTGGAGAAAGTTAAAATTATGTGACACCTTTTTGAATTAAAATGCCCCCTCCTCCAACTATATAAATCTAGATTTAGTTTAAGTACATACTTGGAGCCAGCCTTTGTAGCTTTGGATCTGCTGGTATCTCTACAATATCCCAAACAAAACTAAATACTTGAAATTTCTTGAAAGTCTATGTTTAGAGCTGAAGCTGCAGCTGAAGTCTAATCCTGTGTCCTCTGAGTCAGTAACAGTAAAACCGCTGACTTCAAAGACTGAAGATTTCATACATGAACTTCATGGCGCTGAGCCATTTCTAATCAAAGAAGCAAAACTCACCAGAAGGCTTATACAGCAGTCTCTAAAGAGCTGTCTTGATGCAGTGAAGCACTTAAAATGCTTAACCTTTATGTAACTTTGAACTTAAATCATGGGTTTCAGGGCTTGAAAGAAAATACATGAACTATTTAGTACTGAATTACATCTTTATGATCCTCTTTTTTTGTGCCCCTTTTTTTTTAAGTGATTGGATTTTCAACACAAAACCCTAGGAATAGAGTAGCTAACTGCACAGAAGGAAAGTATCTTATATTCTGGAGTGCTTGATTTGGGGTACAACCAGCTTGACTAGGTGGTCTGGCAGCTATCCCACCTTCTCCATTTCCAGACTGGGCTTTGCTTTACCCATGTTCTAGACACTGGCCTTTGCTGGTATTTCCCCTGAGCAGAAGACAGCTTAATGTTGTGCACTTCATGAATTTGCTGCACAGTTAAGTAAAGCTTAGTGGGCCATAGGTGAACAAATCTAGCTTTGCTTTACAGTCCTAGGAAAGCTTTTGCAGTAAGATGTTGTTTAGGTCAGTGTTTTTCCTGTAAATGGAGGATTTGAAAGCTGAAAGGAGCTCTGTGGTGTGCACAGGTGATCACCCTTGAAATGAGGAAGCAAGCTACAGGAGTTGTCATGAGAAACCCCCTATTATTTGCTGTAGATCTAAAATAAATAGGCAATGAAACCCACACTTAAGTACCTGCTATTTTGTTTCCTATAAGGATGATGATGAAGAGGCTGAAGAAGAGAGGAATGGAGTCTTGGCAGCAGTCACTAACAGTTGCAGTACCCCTGACAATATAAACAAGATCAATTCAGACAGAAGCAGCAAAACCAACACTGACAGAAAAAGGGAAGGAAGTAAACACAGTGGGTACGCTTCACTGATGTCAGTAATGAAAAGACTTTTCTGTATCTTTGATTGCTTCCATGTTAAGAATCCTTACCACATAGACAACTATGCCAGATTTTCTTTCCCATTATCATTCATCATAATTAATGTGTTATATTGGGTATATTATTTGTATTTTTAAATATTTTAATGTATAAAATTAGTTTAAAGTTTAGGAAGTGGATATGGGAGGGGAGGTTGCAGAAGAAAGAAGTTGCATTTGGATAAAGGGATATGAAAAGACATGCCATCTTTTCAAGAATTTTGATAAAGTTTCTTGCTAACTCACTTTTCCACTGTTAAATGACTGTCACCCAAAACTGACTTTCCTATTAGCATGCATGTCCCATATTAAACTACTTATCAAAGGGCAGTAAGTCCTTTAAAAAAAATTGAATTGTCAACTTTGTAAAGTGAGAATTACATTATACTTGTTTCTGAACTTCATTGAATACATTTGAAAATAAAAATAATGAAGTGTTGTTTTCCTGCTATGCTTCTCCTTCTAGCTTTGTCAATAATGCATAAATTTTCCAGATTATATGAGAAAATGTATAATTGCAGATCAAAGTGGTTTGGCTTCAGTAAGAAACAGTTTTGAAGGCATGGGCTATCAACAGAAGCCAAACAATATATATCTTTCTAAGGTCACAAATATGTATCGAGAATCTCTCCTACATCTTTAGATAGAACTGTGGTAGGTATTGATGACATTTTTAAGTAAATGCAGGACAGAATATAGAAATGGACCAGGTCCAAAACATTTAGATCCCAAGGGATGCTCTTCCCAAGTGAGGACATACCCTTGAAGGAATATTGCCATTTATCCCAATATTTATAGCCTGTACTCTGCTCAGTCACAACTGCCCAGGTAACTATTATGCAGAGGAAATATTTGATATGCTTCATTTTCAGCTTAGCAAATTCTTCCTAACTTGCCATTAAAAAAATCATATAAAGACTTGAAGAGAAAACCCTGGCTATGCAATAACTCTTGATGAAAAAGGGAAACTTCTACATGGAGGAAATCATGACCCTTATGAGAGAATTGTTACACTTGATGGAAAACCGTAACAACTTTTCTGAGTTGTTACTTCACTGACAGATATTGCAAGAGTTATTGATATGGCAACCTGTTCCTTATACTGCAGTCTGGAAGTTTTAAAGCACTTATTATTATACCTTTTTCCTGATTGTAATATATATGTGGGTTGCATATATGTGTATAAATGCGTATATGTGTTTTTATAGGCTGTATACCTTGGCATTTATGATTATCTAATACACTGTACACATAAAAATGCATTAAAAAGCCCCCCTATTATTAACATTTTTTGATATACCTGTCTACCAGTGTGCTGCTTGTGAAGAACACTGTTATATGAAAAGAAAGTGCAAATTACCAGTGTGGGTTAGATTTGCCCCTGCTCACAACTAAATCCATGAAAATATTTGCATGTTGGTAAACAATTATTAATAGAATCCTCTTAGTATATTTATTATATATTTGTTTATATACATATATATATGGGTTCAGACTTAAACAGGGAAAGCTCAGGCTAGGTATAAGGAAGAAGTTCTTTACTGTGCGGGTGGTGAGGCACTGGATCGGGTTGCCCAAAGAAGCGATGTGAATGCTCCATCCCTGGCAGTGTTAAAGGCCAGGCTGGATAGAGACTTGAGCGACATGTTCTAGTGCAAGGCATCCTTGCCCATGGTAGGGGGGCTGGAACTAGATGATATTAAGGTCCTTTCCAACCCTGACCATTCTATGATTTTCTAAATGGGTTTAGTACCAGAAGCTTGTTTCTCTGTTGTTATATGTAATGCCTTTTGCAAGGCTTATTGAGGCAATGTGACTTTAGGAATAGTCTAGTGGCTTTTGGTACCTTGTTACCTTGTGGCTCTTCTGATCTTCACGCATTCAAGAAATAAAAGTAAGACTTGCCTTGTTAAGGACAAGATTAAAAAAGAATTATTTTGTATTTAGCATTCTGCTGCTCAGATTTAACCTTAAACTCGTCATGAGTTTTCCTTGTAAATGAAGTGTGGAGCTGGGCTCTGAGATCTCTTTCCAGTTCTTACTCCCATAAAATTTGCAGAAGGCATGTGTATGTAGTACAGGAAGCTCTGCATTTAGTTTCTTAAATTCGAACTTTACATTAATCCTGAATCTTTTAAAACAGGTATTTGCAAGTTGCAAATTACTGGTTGTGTTAACACCAAATTTGGGATTTACAGTTTTACTACAAGTGTAAAGTAAGCATTTAGAGTTTTGTAGCTTCTTATTAACTTGGAGATAATTCACCTTAAGCGTTCTCTTAGAAAGCTGTTGAAGGTCTGGACAACTTTATTTACAGTACATTAGCTGATAACAGGGTCTGTTTTCCCACTGATGTGCTAATTGTAAGCAGAGTTAGACACTGAAGTCCTTCATGTTTTCACAAAAGAATACACTTCACAGCCAGATTATGTATTATTTTCCTTTGCATAATTCTGCATTAATTACAAATTTGAAAAACAAAATTTGGTTTGACATGAATTTGTGTAAAATATTCCCTCCAGGGGACAGGGATGAGAGTTTCAGTGTGGTGTATGAAGAATGAAGAACAGCATTTAAATTATCTCATTCAAACATACTAATCTGTCCTCAGAAACTATCAAGATCCTTGGAATTAGCTAGAAAGGCTCTTCAAAGTAAGCGGCATTCACGAGCAATGTAACGAAGGGCAAAACTCAGAGATAAATTAGAAATGGAGAAGTCTCTTTCAGAGCCAAGAACAGGGGCTGAAGTTGAGGCTGGGGCACTCACACCTAGCCTTGGCAATGAAAATGGCTTTGCTTTAATAGCTGGTGAAAAGGAAAGAGGAAAGGACTTGGACTTTCTGAAATAGTTTTCTGGTTGATAGTTGTCTTTCTCTTGCTTACTTTGATTACAACGTTTTCTAGTCAGAGAACTTCTCAGAATCATAATTCAGAAATATCTTGTATTTTGGGGCTACTAGAGGCAGATGTACAGCTAGGGACCTGAGGAAGGTGAAGGGGGATAATGGCATGAGCTAGTGATGTACTTTCATGCAATTTGCTTTGCTGTTAGCAGGAGGTGCACTACCTTTGACATATCTGAGGGCATCAGCCAGCCCAAGGAATAAACTTCCTTTCTCTGTGAAATACCTGCAAGCCTGTTCTTTTGGTTTTGCAGCCACTTCACAGGTGTCTAAGTATTGTGCAGACTAAAAAAATGTCTCTGACCTTAGTAAGCTCTTTGGTATAATTGTTGCTCTCAGTGGGAAGCTATTATGAATATAAAACAATTTACTGAGCTATTTCTTTAAATGTAATAATAAAAAATTTTGGAGATTTTAGACATTTGAGGATATGAATCTTTGCTACCTTTCTACCTTGGCAATTATCTCTTGTATTTCTCTGATTCAACTTTGTCACAGCCTGCTTACTGGGATGTTAGTTGTGATGTTTTGAAAGCATTTAAAATAGAATAGAATCATAGAACGCTTAGCGTTGGAAAGGACCTTAAGATCATCTCGTTCTAACCCCTCTGCCATGGGCAGAGATGCCTCACACTAGACCATTTTGCCCAAGGCTTTGCAACCTGGCCTTGAACACTGCCAGGGATGGATTTAAGTGGAATACTCCACCTAAATAAAGAATACTAAGAAAGATGTTTTAGAATAGGCATTCACTAGCTCTTTCATAAACTAAGAAAGCATTTAAGATGAATATCAGAACATGTATTTAAAAGTCTAAATAACTAAATACCCTATCTAAATGCTCCAGTCAACACATATGTCAACACATATTAACAAAATAAGGGCATCCAATCTGTTGATTCAAGTACCCATTTTCAGCATGGTGGCCTTCTTCATTATCAGTGCAGCAGTAACTTAAATAGCTCTCTTTCCTTCCTTGAAGTCTCTTTATTGTTTGTGTTAATTATTTGAAGAGAGCTGTTATGTCTTTTGCCATAAGAAAAAGTATTAAGAAAAATGATGTGCCACATTGTCACCCTGCAATTCAAACAGAAATTACAAAAAAGATTAGAGATTAAAGAAAACCTACATAACAGTAAAGCTGATGACACAAGAAATGGAAAGATGTAAACTTTCTGCTTTCTGCCATGAGTTCTTGCCAGTCGCATGGTGGATCAGAGCACCTGAAACGCTATGAGTACAATCTGAAGGGGCTACTGGAGAACTGGCGCTGCTGGTACAATTCACGCTCTGCAGCAGTAGATGGAGCTAATTAACTACACTTCATGACTGAATGAACAAATGTAAATGGCAAATACTAGCTAAGGAGGACTCTAGGGAAAAGCTTTTACAAGCTGACAGTTGTACTATGGTAACTGGGTCATGTTAGTAGTGACAAATTAATTAAAATCAGACAAAACAGAATTGTTAAGTGGACTGTTGAGGACTTCCACACTAAAGTTCAGCCTTCTCAAATCTAGACTGCTGTTTCCATCATTTTAGCCACTGAAATTGTTAATACATTCTGCCAGTCTGCAAAGTAACTCCATGACCACTATAGCTTGTGTTTTAAACCAGAATTTTCTATCTTTATTTCAAGGTTTTCTTATGCAGGTTAAAATGTTTCAAATCAAAGTATTATAGCATCTCAGTATTTCAAGGCAGGCAAAACAGTGGCTGTACTAACAGTTTTCCCATAAATATTTACGAATCCTAAATACATGTATGCAGGTACGCATCACTGGCACACTGCTAACAGCTGACACAAGGATCGAATTAATTTCAAAAGTAAGTTCAGACCTTTTGGAAAAGCTTTCCTTGAAATAGGGTTTGTTGAAATGGTGGGAAACTGAGCATGGGAGTCTTTGGGACTGAGTAAGCAGGTCACTGCAATAGGAAGGTGTCTCAACCTGGGAGCTGAAGACTGGAGTGGATTCTGCTTACTGTAGCAAAATGGGTGCTTGACAGCACTTAAAGCAGATAAACATGACATGATTTTGAAGTCTGTAATGGATTTGCTATTGCTTGTTATATAACTTTATAATTAAAGCCATCGGTCCACTTTAACAATATTGCCAAATTCAGCTTTTCATCAGTTTCCATCTGGAGACATCTTTCTTCCCCAGTCTCATCTGACAGTCAAACTTTCCATCCTCAGAAAAAGGAGACTAAGGGGGCATTCAGGGGCATGTCGGTCTCTTGAAGTGAGTTTACTCGTATAATTTGGGTTCTGGGTTTCTCTCCAAACTGGAATGGATCCCATTTTCTCATTCCAGATCAAACACAGACAAAACTTCACAAGACAAAAACCCCCATAAGATTTTAGTACCATCACATGAGCATGCAAACCATAACCCCGACTGATTTTCAAACTCTGCTCTGAATTTAAATTTAATCCAGATTTAAGCACTAGATAACTTCATCTGTATTTATGCACAGATAGATGTACCACTGTTAGAGCAGGTAACTTTGGAACCTAGACAGCAAAAAGATTTGATACAGGGTTATTTGATTTCTCAGAAAAGAGAGGAATTTTTTCTGCTTTAAAGGCAAGGCAGAAATGGATCCAGAATCACAACTCTGGCTCCAGCTGGGGCTTGGCTTCTTTGGAAGCCAAACAAGCTGGCAAAGTTAGAAAAAGAATAATTTGAGAGTATAAAATGGATTTGAAACCTGAATTACATGTTGACATTCTCAACTTGTATGCCCCTGGCCATGCTGATGTTAATGATGCTGTTACAAACAACATTCATTGCATCTCAGGAGCAGTAACAAACTTGTGAGATTTGCTAGCATAAGGAAAGCTAGCA